CACAGCAGCTGTGGTTACCTGCACAAGACCTGCACAAGATACAGTTTATCAACACTCCAGCACAGATGGTAGAGGGACACATGAGGCCCAACCCTTAGTTAAAGAACTATTGACAGTTCATGACTACTGGGGGAGGGGAAGTCCTTTTTCTTCAGGGGTAGCCACTAGGAAGTTGCCCATGATCCAGTAAATAACCCCACACCCATTCACATGCAAGCAACCCCTAATTAAATTCAGTGGGTTATTTGGGGGGGAAAAAAAAAAGACATGAGAGTAGGAAGGGGCATGTTGGGAAAAAGGGCTCCAAAGGTAATGAGATGGGGAGAAGGGAGAGGAATAGGGGTGAATATAACCAAACTATATTACAGAAATAGAAAGAGGGGCTGGAAAGATGGCTCAGCAGTTAAGAACACTAACTGCTCTTGTAGAGGTCCCAGGTTCAATTCCCAGCACCCACATGGCAACTAACAACCGTCCATAACCCCAGGGGATTCTATGCCCTCCTCTGTTCTCTTTGGGCACTGCATGACACAGGTGCACTTACATACATGCAGGCATAATGCCCATACACATAAAATTAAAATTAAAAAATTTAAAGATAAAAAATTTTAACATCTTTCAGCAGTCCTGGGAGTTCATTGTGGCACACACTCCCCAGTACCTAAAGACACAGTCTGGAAACAATCAGTTTAAGGAGTCTTCTCATTCTCCCTTCAAAGAGTGTTGGAAAAAGTCAGATAACTGGACAGAAGTTATTTAATTTAGCCAGAGGAAAGTACCTAGATTCTTATCCACAATTGGGGGTCAGATATATGCAAGAGAGTTTGACTACCTGAGTTAGAATGTGAACCCTGGGGTGTTCAGTTTACAGAAATAGAGCACTGACCCAGCCAGAATTTCTATTACCAACAAATGAAGAGCTAGCGAGATGCACTCAGCAGTTAAGAGCACTTGCTACTCTTGCAGAAACAGGAGTTGTTCCTAGCTCCACTGATCTACATCCCTAGCCATCACTTAGAAATGGAGGTCCTGGGTTTGCGCACCAGCACGACAAAAACAAACCTGGAGTGCTCCTTCTAGGAAATAAACATTGTCAACTGAGGGCTTGCCGATGATTGAAGAGTTCTTCAGTCTGCGGGAAAACAGCATAGGTAATTTACACATCAAACCTAGCAAACTTGCCCCGTAAGCAAGCTTCTTTGAGGCTTGGAGTTTACGGTGGTTGTGTTGGAGTGGGGTGGGGTCAGGAGTATAACTCAAACTGTGCAGAGCTCCTCCCACATCCTCACAATAATTATTATTCAGTTATTCAGTTGCAAATCCTCCTTGTTCAGAGAAGATTGGAAGAGGGAAACCCCAGGAAGCCCTGGCCTGAGGGCAGGATCTGAGGGAACGTCCAAAAGAGGAGAAAGATGTAGAAAGGAAGAAAGAAGCGAGGGTCCAAGAAAGCTCCCTGTTTGGGAAGGATTCACTTGTACTGATATTCCTCCACAATCTACCAAGAGGTGGTCCTGCATCGGATCTCATGATCACAGCAACAAATAGATTAACAAAAAAGAGACAGAGGTGCCTTAGTGCCCATTTGGGACCGGAGGTATCCGTATAGGTGGGGAGTGGGAGGTTTATTCCACCCCACACCGGGCACAGAGCCGCAGGGTTCAGTAAACTGTTCCTGTGCAGACGGTTGCGAGGACAAGGTTTTAAATATGAGGGTTCGGGGAGGAGGTGCCTCGGAAACCTTGGGATTTCGGGGCAGGAAGTCAGAGGGCGGGCGCTGGGAATCTCTAGGGTTTCAAAATAGGGAAAAAATGAGGGGGGTTTGGCCGGTGGAGCCGTCCAGGACCGAGGGTAGAGGGGAAGCGGGTCAGAGACGCAGGTTCTGGGCTCTCAGCCGAGGCAGGGGGGCGGGTGGGGGGGTCGTGGCGAGTCAGAAGCCGTTGCCAGGGAAACGGGAAGGAGGCGGAGCCGAGTTAGCTTTGAGTGACAGGAGCGACATCAGGGGCGGTACTGTTTCCGGACAGGGTACGTACAGGGTGCGTGTCTTGTGACGGATAGGCCCTGAGGGCGGAGCTTGAAGCTGATTGGCCTAACTAGGAATCAAACGGGTTTTGTTCTGGCCCTTAAGCCAGAGTCCAAGCTTTAGTAGTGTCCCCGCCGAATTCTGATTTCTCAGGAAAATTGCAAGTATATGGAGACAGCTTGGAGAGTGTAACTAGTCAGGATTTGTCCCTAGAGAGCCTGTGATAGGCCCTTTTGCCGATTTTCACAGCATTTGAGAAACCAATGTGAAATTAGGAAAAGCGATGACAGAACAACACTCCCTCTGACCTGCCAATCTCTCCGGTTTAGCATTGTCTGCAAAAAACAAATAATTCTGTAATAAAGGTCTTACAATTTGTTTTGCACAGATTGATTCCCCTCCTCCCCAAATGAGTTTATCTTGCATTGATTCCCCAGTGAAAGCTCAAGGCCTCTTTTCAAGGGAATGGCCAAAGGCCAAAGCTGAACTGCAGAAAGCAGCTAGAATTGACCCAGGACCTTAGGTCCTGGTAGGAGGCCTTGATATGATTGGCAGATTAGAATGGAATTGGAACTGGCAGCCTAAGTGTCCCTTATTTAATCAAGAATCCTTTTGTGCAAGCTACAAAACTCTGAAGTTTGGAAACTCCTTAGTGACTGGGATTGTGTTTTGGTTTGGTTTTGGTAGAGTACAGGGGATTTAACCTAGGGCCTTTCACATGCTAGGCAAACACTTTACACTAAGCTGTATCCCTCTTTTTACTTCAAGACAGAGTCTCATTAAATTGCCCAGGCTGGCCACAAACTCACTCTCTAGCCCAGGCTGTCCCGGCCTCCGGATTAGCTGGGGTTCAGTCCCACCTTTCTTAGTGTCTTTAGTAAACTGTGTACAATTGTGGACCTGTCGGTTTTTCTGGTCTGTAAGCAAACCTGGACCAGGGAGGAGATGTTCCCGACTGTCAAAGGGACCAGAAAAATGACCTCAAGGTTAGCTGGCAACTGGCAGGAAGCCTGATGGTGGTTAGGAGTCAAAATTCAGCTGGAATCCCCCTCCATCAGTTTTCTTGCTTTTTGTTTTTCTGGTTGCCATTTTTATTTGTTTGTTGTTTGTTTGCTTTCTGGAACATGGTCTCCTGTAGCCCAGGGAGGTTTCCAATTTACTATGTAGTTGAGAATGACCTTAAAATCCTGATCCTAGGCCAGGCGTGGTGGCACATGCCTTTAATTCCAGCACACAAGAAGCAGAGATTGGAGGATCTGCTTGGTCTATGTAGGAAGTTCCAGGCTAACCAGGACTACATAGTGAGGCCTTGTCTAAAAAAAAACACCCTGATCCTCCTACCTCAACCTCCCAAGTACTAGGATTACAGGCATGTAATACCATGCCTGGCTTATGGGATAAGAAAGGGCATAACATATCCTGCCTCACAGGAGTGAGAACAAGGAGATTAAGAAATGAGTGACTTAAAGCACTTAGCTTCATTAGCACCAGCCAATAGGACTCAGGAAATGAGAGCTGGTGTCAATCCTCCTTGCCATACAAGTTAACTGTTACCCCCAAGACAAGCGAGCAACCAAAGTTCACTTAAGGCTACCGTGGGACCATCCAGTCCTAAAGATTCCTTACTACCATCTATTAAGAGCTGGAAAAGTAGGTCGGGCGTATGCCTTTAATCCCAGCACTCAGGAGGCAGAGGCAGGCGGATCTCTGTGAATTCCAGGCCAGTCTGGTCTACATAGTGAGTTCCAGGACAGCTGGGGCTACAGGGAGACCCTGTCTCAAAAAGACCCCCCCCCCAAAATAAGAGCTGGAAAAGTGAGATGAGGGCTATTTCCCCAAAGGGAGTGGAGTATGAATTTTATTATAGACTTGTTCGTGTTTATTTCCTTATAGCTACCAAAGCTAAGACCCAGGGGAAGAGAAGCAATGATGAATTGTTGACTAATAGCTCTTACCAGGTATACATAGGCATGAATTTCTGCCCAGGAGGTAGGAAAAAGGGTTATAAAAGTAAGCAGGATGCTGGGTATGATGGCACACATCTTTAATCCTAGCACTTGAGAGACAGATGCAGGTAGATCTCTGAATTCAAATCCAGCCTGGTCTACACATCAAGTTCCAGGCCAGCCAGGGCTGCATAGTAAGAACCTGTCTCAAAGAGCACTGGCCGCAGAGGATCTGGGTTCAGTTCCCATCACCTACATGGCCCCTAACAATTGTCTGTAACTCCAGCTCCAGAGCATCTGATGCCCTCTCTGACCTCCAAGGACATTGCATGTATGAGTACGTTTTCATACATTCAGGCAAACACTAGTACACATAAAATAAAAAATAAATTTTAAAAAGTTTTTTAAAAGTAACCAGGAGTCCAGTGGGATGACTCAGTGAGTAATGGCACTTGCTACCAAACCTGACAATCTGAGTCTGAGTCCCAGGACCCACATGGTAGAGGGAGAGGACTGACTCCTGCAAACTGTACACACAACACACACACACACACACACACACACACACACATACACACAGAGTAGGGCGTGAAGGGCCTTAGGTGGTGGGAAAGGCTAACTTTCAAGGGTTCCTGCCAGGCCAGTTTCCATGGTGAATTGGTAGGGGTGTAGGTAGAGAGTGTGCTGGTCCCTAACAGCCTCGCACTGGTGGAGCAGGCAGCCCTTAGCCTTGTCTCCCCTTTCCAAAGGTTTTCTAGAGACCAGAGGTCACCACCCCTGGCCAAATGCCTAAAGGAAACTGAGAAGCCAAGAGCCTGAATTGGTATGTGATCAGCCCCCCCAGTGAAAAGGGAAATGAATGCAGGCCTCCATCTTCAGAAGGAATAATAGTTACTAAGCAGAGAGCTGATTTTCTAGGATCAGAGAGCCCTCTGCTGGGAGATGAAGCTCCCTACAAACAGTAGGGACCTGGCCTTTGGGGAACAGGAAGCTAAAGGCAGGAGAACCCTGCTGGGATGAAGACATGGAATCAGTGAAGATTAAGAAGTAGACAGGCTTGCAGTTTATTAACACTATGTTATCACAGCTGTTGTCCCTGGAGAAGGTGGTTAGGGAGCAGGAAAGTGGTCTCAGAGGATCCCACTGGGACCTTTCCAATCACCCCATTCACCTTTTAAGCCAGAGGTCAGGGAATTCGGAGTGGAGATCTAATTCTGTGCCCTGGAGTCACCACCACCCATGCCATTCCCAAGCCATTCTTCCATTTGGTCCAAACATCGAGGCCTGGGTCCTTCTTCTTCTTGGAGGGCAGAGAGAAGGCTGAGCCACACTTCAAGAAAGAGAAGGAAGGGCTGGGGGTGTGTAGCTTAGTGAGAGAGCACTTGCTTAGCACGTGTGAAGCCCTCTTCCAGAGAGGAGATGGGTAGAAAAGAAGGAGCTAAAGTGAGGGTGGGCGAATGTCTAACAAGGGTCAGTGAAACAGAATTACCTGCCTATAGATTGTACACTGGAGGCCTGTGTTTAAGCACCATTCCCACACCAGTCCCCCTATAAGTGGGTACAGGTGGTAGGGGTTCCTGAAGGGGAATGCTTATTCTCTCTGTGTATTTTTCTAATTGGGGAAGGAATTGGAATTGTGGGATTTCTGTCTGAGTCATGACATCAGAGCAGACCAAGAACAACTAAGATTGTCCCTAAAGGGGCCCACATTTCATTGTGGACAGCAGGGGGGATACAGCAAGATGGTACAGGTACTGGCATTCCTCTATTCTTGTAGAGGAAGAGAGAAAGTGGAGTGATTCTAGGATCTGGTACATGACAGGCTTAAGATCTCTGCCTTCCTTGTCCAACATGGCTTCCTCTGCCAGCCCAGGGCCTGAGCCAGCTTTTGGAGCCAGCTATCAGAAATCTACAGGATTTAGCTATGTTTAGCCTGCTAGTGTCCTTCAATCTCTGTCCTGAGATCCTGGGGCTCTACCTGTGTCCAGGGGGGTAAGGTGCTGTCAGAAATGTCTTGGAGCTAGGTGTGGTGGTGCTCACCTTTAATCCCAGAGACAGGCAGATCTCTGTGAGATTGAGGCCAGTCTCATATACATAGTGAGTTCCAGACCAGCTTGGGCTACAAGAAGACCCTGTCTCAACACCTCCTCCCCACAGAGGAAAGGAATGACTTGGCAAGAGGAACAGTTTAGGGAAGGAAGTCCCGCCTGTAACCTGGCTACTAGATGGCCAAGAGGGAAGCCAGATATCATAATATTCCAGAACAGCTTAGGGGCCAAATGTATAATCATGTACATGTATCACATACATATGTATGCACACACACAAGCATAGAAGGGAGGGGCTATGTGACTTGTTCTCCGAAACCAGAGAAAGAAGAGGCTTATGGGGGCGCTTCTACTGCGGCCTTATGGTTCGCTGGTCTCAGTGGCTGCTCCCCCATCAAGTCCCCTGCCTGGTACCAGGCAAAAAGACAAGTGTAGAATTGGCAATGTGGCACCAAAGCAGTAGCTCAAGGTGGTAAGAAAGAGGGCAGCGGCCAACTCCTATCAAAGGCCCTTGTTGTAGTAAACCACATCAATGTTGGGGTTTTGCTCATGGATCTGAGCTCTCAGCTTTGGCTCCAGCCTGGTCACATGTATGGAGCTGAAACAGAAGAGTACAGACCAGCTGAATGTCCTCTGGGCTCAGCCACTCAGGCCCAGAGCCCAGCATTCCTCCTTTCCCCAGTGAAGAAGTCCCTCCTGCTTTCAGAAGAGCTGACTCACTGTCATTCCCCTACCCACCAAATCACCAGTGTGCCTACCAGGCTTCTCTGGAACACACTAAGGGCCTGAGGTGTGGAGGCCTGTGCAGAGCTCCCAGTCCAGCTGGGGGACAGACAGCACTTACCTCCTCTGGGGAAACAGAGCGCAGCACAGGGGTGTGGCAAATACCAGGCTAGGGGAGAAGAGCAAGGGAAAGGCCTGTGAAACTCTGGCCCGAGTCTCCATCCCTGTACCCACTGCATGGAAATAATCCCAGGAATAAAGGGGGGAACTTTTATTTCAGCCCTAGGGGGTGGAAATTGGGGCCACAGTATCCTTCAGGAACATTAAATCCAGTCCTGACATTAGAATCTGGCTGAGGAAAGAACCTTTCAAACATTGATCCCAAGCCCCATGGCCAGAAAGTGAATGAAATGGGCTGGAATTACTAGATGGTACCAAAGAGTTTACTTGCATGGTTTTCTCTGGTGAATGAAGACTGAACCACTCAAATAAACTGTTGACTTTCAACCACAAGAACTACCTCCTAGAACCTCAGACACAGTATACCCTATGGGTGGCCATTTTAATTGGATGTGTGACTGAACAATATATAGAAGCATCTCAAAGGCATTAAGTGCCCATCCACACCCACCATGGGAAGGTACTTCTGTGTGCTCCCAGCCAACCCCTTGCACACTCACCAGAAGCCCACCAGTCCCACCTGCAGGGGCGCCCCCAGCCAGGGGCGATGCTGTGGGAAAACAAACAGATAACAGAATGACTTGTGTTCCCTGCCTCCCTAACTTCTTCTATCTTGTTTTTCTCACCATGGTTCTAGCCCAAAAACCCTGCCTTTGGGCCCTTGGACATACGGCTTCTCTCCCCACACCCAATCTGATGACGGGGCTGGGATCTGCATATGGCAACCTCCCACTCCAACTAGACCTGTTTCCTAGCATCTTGTCACATATTCTGGCCTCTCAAAGTTGGTCTCTGACCCCCTGTTTCTCTTATCTTACTTTCTCCAGGAGCTGATTTCTTCAGGAAGTCTTCTCCGAGCCTCCACTCACTTCCTGTTATCCATTGGTATAAATCTGTCCCTTTCCACACCCTTCTCCAGTCCATCGTATTCACAGCAACCATCATTCTGTTCTTCAAATGTATAAACCTTTTCCTGCTGCAGGGCCTTTGGATTGGCCATTCTCTCTACCTGGAACACTCTTTTCTGAGCTCTCTGCCTGACTTTCTTCTTATTCTTTGGCTCTTTAGAGGCCCATTCTCTGACTGCCTTGTCTAAACCGTGCTCCCCCAATTGTCTCAATGGGGAGAACATTCTGCCCATTTCCTACACTGCCTCCTGGTTTCCTACAAAGCACATTTCACAACTAACAGTGATATGTCTATTGTTTTCTTCTTTGTTTATTTGTTTCTGTACTAAACTATTAGCCTTATGAAGTCAGGGTCTGTGACCATCTCATGCTGTTTACACAGCCTCAAAACATGACTGTGCATAGTTGGTGCTCAATACACATTTGTGAATAATAATTCAGTGAATGAACTAGAACTTGTATTCTCATGTCTTGCATCCCTGTCTTGTTCATACATGCATGTATATATATGGATGCCTGTTAGTGGGGGACACAGTAAGTGACATCATGAGTATGATATCAAGCATGACAATGATAGTCATCTCTGTGTATGTCAGAGACTTTCTGAGCCACACAGTTTTCTTCAGGACAGAATACATTTCCTTCCTTCTGTCTTTTCTCCTTCTCCCTCAATGGTCCTTCCTTCCATCCCAGACTTTTTTGAATGTATGGAGGCAGGATAAGGGTAGCAAGGCTAGAGAGAGGATTGGGAACAGGTCACTTCTCCCTGACACCACCGCTTCTAGGCCAGCAGAGGTGAGTTGCCTACCTTCAGGAAGTCTTTCTTCTCCAGAGTGTTCATGATCACTGGAGGAATGGCTGAGGAGAGAGCAGGGCAGTGAGAGAGTTAGTGGGGTGAACTCCAGGAACCTGAAGGAAGGGAGACCCCTTCCCAGCTCCTCCCACTCTTCCCAAAGTCTTGCTGCTTCTGAGTTCTTAAAAGTCCCGGAGAACCTCAGCCCCTCTTCTCTCTGGGCCTCATGTGCTCCACCCAGCCATCCCTGCCTCACCCATGGCAGGAATCGCCATGCAGATTCTCGATACCACCACCTGGAAGATTCCTTGTTTGGCCGCAGTCACTGAGTGGCCAAGCCTCTGACCTGCCTCATCGGTCACAGGGATGCCCACTTGCAGCTCCCTAAGAAGAGAAGAGGGCTGGGGTCAGATTGCAGGTAGCAACTCTCTGGATCCCCTCACATCCTACACTCAAAGGCTGATTCTAAGGATCCCAGGCTGAGGGGTGGATCCCAGAGAGAAACAGGTAGCTATCTGTGCCAGCCCTGCCCAGCCATGGAACAGAGGGAGCTTTTGGTTATTTAGTATGGGTAAAGAAATATGGGTTTGGAGAAGGGACAGGGTGCATGGTAGATCCTAGGGTGTAGGAATTCAGCTTGATGGGGCTGTAGCCATCTTAAATCATAACCACCTTGAATGTCCCTGAGTAGCCTAGGTGGGTTTTCTCTTCATAGAGCCCCAGATTACTATAAATAAAATTACCTAAAGTGGTGTGTGGAGCTTTATAACCCAGTCATGGGTGCCAACTACTTCTAGAAAGTTGTCTGCTTTTCTTGATGTTGGCTTAAAATAAATCAGGGTACATCTTTGTTTATATTAAGTCACCTTCATCCTGACTATTACATATACCACTCCTTCTGATCCAAGTCATGGGAACCCACTGCTCCTGCTACTAGCCAGGACCACACTCCTCTTATTAAGTCCTCAATGTAGAGCCATCTGTGAAACCATGCATCTGCCTACTTCCTTCTGTCTTACCACATCTCAGAGCAGGTTCTCATCCACTGAGAACTGGCTCTTCTAGAAACAGGGTCAGTCTAAGCCAGGGCCCATTGGCTCATGGCCAGTTAGGGCACTGAGCTTGTCTGCAGGGCTGGATGTTGTAACATGTATACACTGGACACCCATGTGCTGGGAGCCAGGACCACTCACCTCTGCCTCATCAGGGGGATGTTGATGCAGTTGGCAGCAGCCACAGCTGCAAAGGGCACAAATCTGCTGACTAGCGAGGGTAGGTGCTGAGGGAGGAAAGGTGTTGCTCAGTGGCCCTGAGGGCCAGAGATGGAGAGCACCTCAGGAAGGAAATGAGGAACCTCTTGGGAGGGTAGTAGGAAGAAAGAAGGTGGGTAAAGGATGAATGAGGGGCCATTAGTGACAGAGAGCCTTTACCTTGGTGAGGGATTTGAGTCCCAGAGCTGTGGCCACAGCCCCAGTGGTAGCACTCACATAAGCTGTTCCCAACTGCCTATGGAGGGAAGAGTCAGGTCACAGAGAGATGAAGAGGCCAGCATGCATCTCCTTTAGGGACATTTCAGTCCCTGGTGTGGGAGGTGTAGAAGGGTGGCCTCACTGCAGAGAAAGTACTCCCCCAGCTCCAGTGTAAACTTATGTGGAAGTGTTACTCTTTCTTTCAAAGGGGAATGGTTCCTCCAAAGCATACACAAAAGGAGCAAATGACCTTAGGCAGTGGGGGTCACACAGCTGAGAGGAGAGCTGAGTCCCTAACACAGGGACCCACAGGAATCTGGAACAGCAAAGAGTGTGGTGCACTAGAGAGCAGGGCCATGCAGCTCTCCATGGGAACTTGCTCTCACCGCACAGTGATAGGAGCATCTCCACTGCGATTGGAGTAGTTAACAACAGCATTGAAAGACTGGTTCACCCACTGCCAGAACACCACAGTCGGGGTCTTCCTGAGGGTACAAAGATTCAATATTCACCTCTCTCTATCCACAGTATTTTCCATCCTTGAATCCCCATAATGAAATTCTCAAGATTACTTAACCCCTCAAGAAGGACCTAGCTGATGATCCTAGAACCTGCTCTGGTCACCCTTACAAGCACCCCTTACACAAATAGACCCACTAGCTCTGGATTTCTGAGGCTGAGTTCTGAAGAATGGAATAACTTCCCTCCCACCCACTACTCTTTACCCAAAATAGTGCAGAAAGGAGGTGGCCTGGTCACCCAGCTGAACTCCAGCACAAAGCACTGAAGAGGGGAACAGGAGATGAGACCTGCCTGTAGAAAGTGAGCATGCAGCCAGTGATGGTCATGTTCATGGGCACCTGGGCTGACATGCGGCCAATCAGGACCAATTTCTCCCCTGTGTCTGGATGGAAGGCAGAATCATACACATACTTGGCTGTCCACAGCTGGTCCTCAGTAAGCCCTGGGGTCACCACACCAGCCCTGTAGAAATTGGCAAGGAACCAACAGGTTATTGCAGGGGCAAGACCTGCCCTTCCAGCCTCCATTGCTTGCCTTGGGGAACTCCGGGCAGAAGATCAGGAACTTTGGCTCTCAGTCTCAGAGTAAAGGAGAGTAAAGGCCTCTTCGCTTGGAGAGATCAAAGCTTCCCATAAGTGGGGATTCCTATTTCTACATCCCTTGTGGCCCCACATTTTCCTCAGGGTTATAGGTGATGGTGGTTTAACATGGATTCAAAATGACTAGGGGTATTCCCAGAGCTAATCCTCCTGCAGACAATGCCTTTCTATCTCCTTAGGACTCTCCTTTGAGCTTGTGTCCTTGCAATGGACCAGCAGGGACCCCTGCAGAGGATTTGTGAAATACAGAGCAGCCTCCTACCTATAAAGATCAATGCTACCTCCTCAACCCAAATGTCCTAAAATCCTTTGGATTGAAGCTCTGTTGTCTGTGAGGCAGGGTCACCTGTAATTCTGCACAATGTTCTTGGAAGCTTCCAACTGCTCTCCAGACAGCAGCAGATTTCGAGGATCAGTAACTGTGAAGAAGTGCCGGGCTCTGCCTAGGAATGTGCTTTGGTCCCATCGAGGTTCCTGGATGTTGATATTTAAGGGCAACGCACCCATTTTCTGCAAGGCAGCAGGAACAAGGATCAGGCCCAAGGATTTCACTCGGGGAAAACTTTGGTGGCTCTGCCCTGGTCCCAGAGCCTATGACCAATCCCCTCAAGAGCTCAAGGTGACTCCAGATAGGTAAGCAAGGGTTAGGGAGGAATGGCTTCAGAGGCGATGTCTTGACCAGGGACATACAGCCACTGAGGAGGGGGAAGGAAAGACCAGAACCAAGAAAATAGCTTTCCTCATGCTCTGTCCTGGTGCAGATTTTCCTCAGGATTTACATGTGTGTGGTTGATACATAAGAGCAGCAACTAATCTGGTACAGCCACTCATGAGCTCTGGCTGCACAAAAGCGTGTAATATATGCACCCACACACCCAAGTCCATGTCAGCTTCAGGCTCCAGCTGCCCCGAGACCTAGATAAAAACTTCCAAGGCTATTTGGGAAAATGACAAAAGCCACCCCACATTCCAACCCATGACTGGAGACAAGCAAAAGATGGTTAAGTAGCCATCGAATGGCTCATCTCTACTGGATCTCAAACAGAGACCTCTGATGGCAGCCATTTGCATGCACATGCACTTGGCCATGCACACATACCCTCTTCAAAACTATCCTCCCCAGCCTCCATGCAATGACCCGAGGCTTTCCCTGGTCCCTGGGTGGGCAGAGCTGGCACAGACACCCACCCACCTCTCTGTGAGCCACCTACCACAAGAAAGGGCAGGGTTCAGCAGATACCCCCCTCTACCTAGCATAAAGAAAAAAGCTGGAAACAGCTATCTGGCTGTGCAGGCAAAAACCCTGCAGAATGACTAATCTCCTCCAGTCCAGCTTCCTCCCGTAGCAGACACCGCCCAGCCACTCGACTCTCATACACTCACATACTCCCACACAAAGACAGGCTCGCCCTCCCTAGACACACAAACAGGGTAGACACACCCTGCAGAAACCAGCCAGAATACTGTTACATGCACACACAGTCATATCCATTAGTTACCGACATTTCAATGTGTACCTCCGATACAGAGCCTCACCCCCATCAACCTTCTCTTTGTGCCCCATGGACCCTAACAGACCTCAAGATACGGAATCCCACAGGACAGACCGTCCACTCCGCAGATTCCCGAACTCTCCGAGGCAGCGAGAACTCACGCTTTCCCGGGTTCCCAGCCTCTGCAGCTTTCAGACCCGCCTTCCTCATCGTTCGCTGCTTCCCTCCCAGCCATCACCCGGACGTCACGCGTGACGCTGAGCAACAGGGAAGGGCGGGTACACCCCAGGCTCCTTCCCCCAACCCGCCCCGGGCTTGGCAAAGCCCCAGGACCATGGATGCCATAAGGAGCGACGCCCCCAGCCCAGGCGGTTGAGACCAGACCCGCCGCCTCTCAGAGCCTAACAAGTCTTGGCCGCCTTCAAGCCTCCTTCCCAGCCCGAGAGAAGAGGAGGAGGCGCGCCGCAGCTTCCTTTGCTTGCAGTGCCCTGGCTTGCCTCGGGAGGCTCCCGACCCGGGCAGCACCGGGTCTAGGTGCACCGGGGACCCTTGAGCGCGCGATGGGGCGGGCCTCTGATGGTGCGCCGCCCGGAGGGACTCGGATTACTGCTTGTTTACTTGATGCTGCCTTGGCAATGGCCTCTGCCAGCTTGGCCCCCTGGTCTCCTTCCCCGGGACCTAGGCTCTTCTCGCAGCTCCTCAGCATTCACATCCCTTCCCAGCCACGTTCCTGTCGGGCCTGTGCCCCAACCCTCTCCTTTCCACCCAACAGCCCCCAGCTCCTATGCCCCCAGTTTCCGTATGCCTCCAACCCTTATCCGTGCACAGTCTTTAGTTCCAATCCCTGGGATGTGCATAAAAAGAGTCTCCCTGCCTGCATCTGAGCAAGCGCATCAGAAAGATTCCTCTGCTGTCAGTCCGGGGATCCGCTGCTTGGTCTGGCGAACCGTCCAGAAAAGTGTACCCAGAGAGACACTGACACAGAAGGTGAAGAAGACATCACACATATAACCCTCACACAGTTACCACCCAGAATACGACCGCTGCACACCCAGGCACCCGCTTGCGTTCCTGCACCTCAGGCTCACGTCCAGCTCTTCGCTGGTGACATTCTCCCACCAGCCAACCCCCTAGGTTCCAAGGACCCGTGAGGGTCAGAATTGGGGCAGGGAGAGCCCAGAGGGTCCTAGCCAGGTGACGAACGACGGACCTAAGCCGCCAGAAGAGAGTGACTGGCGATCTCACCAGCCAATGGAATTCCAGGACTGCTCAGGCCAGCCCTATTCCCGCAGCCGCACCGCGCGTGGGTGGGGTCCTTGGCTGGTGCAGTATCTCACGCCCGCGGGCGGGCAAGGCGAGCGGCGGTGGCACACACGATCAGGTGAGGGGGCCCAGACCAAGAGATAGGGGCTGGGAGGGTTCTCTGGGGTTAGGGTCTGCCTTCTGGGTCCCAGAGATGCTCTGGGGGGCGTGGCCCCTGGTGTTGCATAGGTGATTGTGGGGGCCTCGCCACTCAGCCTTGGGATAGAGTCACGGAGCGGCTTTAGACTGAGAGCTGCAGCCTAGGGCCTGGCCATCTAGGGGTAGCTGTGGGGGCAGGCTCGGCTGCAGCTGTCCCAGGTCCTGAAGCCCTTGCTCTGGAGGCTAGCCCCCACCCACAAATACATATGAAAATTGCTGCAATTTCCCTATGCTGCCCCCCCCCACTTTTCTCGCACTTCTTAAAGTTCTAGAGCCCGCAATAATCCCATCTTCACTCTCTGAACCTTAGTTGAGGTCTAGGAACTGGGCAGATGACTTAGCTGAGTCCAACAATGAGGGTGAAGGAGAGATCCCCACTGGCCTTTTAGAAACAGCTCTCAGTCTCAGATGGTGACTGACTTGGCCAGATCTCTGGGCTAAGGTGGGAGAAGTGCAAAGCCCAAGATATGGGAGAACAGGAAAGGGTGCTCAAGTCAGGGGAAAGAATAGAAGTTCTGGGAGCAATCCGGCAGTCCTCACACCTATGCCCCAATCCCTGCTCTCACTACCCAGGTTTGGAACCCACACTTCTAAGAAGCATTGCAAGTGAAGGGCTCCATTTGCCTCACTGAGACTCCAGCCCTACACAGAAAGTTCATGGAGCCTAGAACACCAATAGCCAAACTTTGGAGGACTAGCCAACTCCATCTGAACCTGTAGGGCACTACCCCAGCCTGCTCACCATGGCACATAGTTTCACAGTGGGCTTGGACCCTTTGGGTCTATCAGAACTCAGCTCTGGCTCTCTGAGCTCCCTCTCCTCCCGAGGCCACCTGGGCAGCGACTCAGGCTCCACTGCAACACGATACCTGCTGAGGAAGCAGCAGCGCCTGCTGAATGGGCCCCCCCGAGGAATCCGAGCCTCGTCACCCATGGGCCGAGTCATCCTCATCAACTCCCCCATCGAAGGTGGGTGTGGGGTTCAGGACTGACTTGGATGGGGAAGGCTGAGAACAGCAGGAACCAAGTTGAAGAAGACAAAGCTAGTAGAGTTAAGGAAATTCAAGAGATGGGAGTCTTAGGAAAGGGAATATTCTTCCATCTGCCTTTGCCTCTCATTCGGCCAAATTTTAGGGCTCCAGAACTGTAGATCAAAGTTGGGAGACAGAGCCATGGTTGCAAGGAAAAGCACTTCTGTAGCCCCTGAATGCATAAAGTAGGGTGCTGAGCAGGCCCCTTTCTCTCATGAACTCTTTCTCCAGATCCATTTTTATGTGCCTATGGGAGCAGAACAGGATGGAAGACATCTTCCACCAAACAATCATTTATGTGACCAGCACTGTGCAGGGCTGTGGGAAGTCAATGCCCAGGTTTCAGAGACAGTGGGGGGGGGGGAACCTGAAGATAGAGCAGCACATGTTCTAAAGAGGAGAAGTAGGAACTAGAGGACTGAGATCCAGGGAGGGAGCACTAGAGCTGGGCTTTTAGAAGAGGACAACCTAAGCTTATGTGTCTGCCTATGTTGATGCACAACAATTCTGTGTCTACCTTGGTTAGGTCCTGAAGGAGACCTAGAGAGATGAAGCTCAGTTTTCACCTTCCAGAAATGTACAGTGTAGCTGAACTTAGAGATAAAGCAATGAGAACAGCTGGTGGTGGGGTACAACTACCCCCTACAAAGGTTGGAAATGAAAAACATGGAACACAGTGGGGCAGTGCTAAGGAGTCAGTCTGACTGCAGTGACAGATGTGAGGCAACAAGGAGCTGGTGAGCAAGACAGGCCCTTGAATGCCAGGAGGGGAGTGGGGACCTGTGGGCCTGTGCTCTCTGTGGGAAGGACCAGATAAATATCTCCAACTCCTCTCCTCTTTCCTAGCCAGCAGAGTTCCCCTGGCTGGATCCCAGAATAGACTTTCCAGGCCCTGATCCTTCCCTCTAATGCAACTGGCCATCTCTGTCCCCCTCCAGAGTCAGATGAGGTAAGGGTGGAGTGTGCTGCCCAGGAAGTGGCCTGGCACACTAATGCACCACTGTGGGCCTCACCTCCAGGTGAGCAACAAGTCATTGCTGAGGTCACCACTCTAATCCTCACCAAGGAGCAGAAATCCCTAGGGAAGCTAGAAGCCATGGGGCATGGCCCCTTGCTGGGCCCACTCTTTTAAAAGAACCATATGGGCTAGCGAGATGGCACCACAGGTAAAGGTGCCCACTGCCAAGTCTGATGACCTGAGTTCGATCCCCTAGAGCTGCATGGTGGAAGGAAAGAAATGACTCCAGAGATTTGTCCTTTGATTTCCACATGTATACACACACACACACACACACATACACACACACACACACACACGTGCAGAGAGACAGAGACAGAGAGACACAGAGACAGAGAACAGAGAGAGAGAGAATCAATGCCATGAAGACTAGAGACAGTATTTAACTTGTGGAGTGGTTTGGCTGTTTTGTTTCTTTGGGGTATTTTTTGTTTGTTTTTGTTTTTGTTTTACTTTTTTATTTCTTTTCAAGACAAACTCTCATTATGCAGCATTAGCTGGCCTAGAATTTGCTATATAGATCAGGCTGGCCTCAAATCCATGACAATCCTTCCCCAGCTTCCAGAGTAATGAGATTTCAGGAATGTGGGCATATACCTAGTCTGTTTTGGGTTTTGTTTAATTTTTAAAACAAAGTTTTACAATGGCTGTCCTTGAATTCTCTGTCTCCCGCTTCAGCCCTCCAAGAACTGAGTTTTTTAGCCTGGGCTACCATATCTAGCTCTTAAATTTAAAACCAACCAACAAAACCCCCAAAGAAACAAAAAATATAACCAGACATGGTGATACTCACCTACAATCCCAAGAGGTGGGATGGTCTCTTTAAAGTCAGCTGGGACTACAGAGTAAACTGTCTCAAAATAACAAGAGATGGGGATGTAGCTTAGTGCAGAATGCTCACCTAACACACAATGCCTCAAGCTCCTCACCCCCAGGGCTATGAGTCTGTGGGGAAGCCCTTCAGGAATTCTCATTTTAACAAGTTCTCCCATGATGCTATCTCTGCCACTCTGGTGCCATGTCCTGGTCCAAGCTTATCTGAGAAAGTGGTATCTAGGCTGGGAAGGAATGAGGAAAGGAGCTAGCCTCACAAAGGCCAGAGCAAGAATATTTCAGGAAGGGAACAGTTCCTGTATGAGGTACAGGAATTGTCAGTGTGGCTGAAGCCCAGTGACAGGGGAGAGAGGCCAGAGGTGATAGAGGAAGGTATAAAGGGCCTTATAGGGCCAGGTGCAAGAGGTGGACAGTTTGGAGTTCCTCTAAAACAGACAGAGGAATATCTCATACAATACAGTCACTGACTCTGATATTGTGTAGAAAATGGAGGTTACACCAACCAAAGCAAGCAGATGGTCAGGGGGCTGCAGGGAGGGTCAGTGTCCTAGGCCAGGGCAGGGCAGGAAAGGTTTTGTCCTCAGAGAACCCACTCCTGAGTTCAAAGCTCAGATGTGACATTCCCAATGGCTCAGGGCTCTACGGGTCCCCAGGGAGAGGCTGAGGAGAACGAAGACTGGGGACAGGGAGCTAAAGGTACTTTGGCTGATGCTGATGGGGCCTGAAGTCCAATCTATGTGATGACCATCAGCTGGGAAGTCCCAGGGACCCTGTCTCTGTCCTGCAGTACCCCTATCTAGACTGCCCTTTGGGATTTCAGCCTCCTCTGCCTTGGCCACACACAGTAGCCTGATTCTGTTAGATCAAACTGAAGTGCGCAGCGTGTGTGTGTGTGTGTGTGTGTGTGTGTGTGTGTGTGTGTGTGTGATTTCTTCCTCTCAAACACAATAAACCTTGCCTGAGAAGAAATCTCCTCTTTTCACCTGGGGACCAGCTTACCCCGCATCTTACCAGTTTTCACCCAGTAGGTCTCTGAGCCTGTCAACATGTCCTCCTCTGGGTCTCCTTTCTCTTTGCTGTTCAGATCTCTCCCATCTCAGTTCTCTAAGGAGCCACCTCCTCTGCCTTTCTCTAGCTGCTCTGGTCACACACCGAAACATGCTAGTTTGGAGGTTCTGTCTCCAAGTAGTCACATAGTTCCTAAAGCCCTAACCCCTAGAATCAATGAGATGGGTAAGGCCTCAGCAGTCCTTCCATAATGGCCCTGTCAGGGTTTGCATGCCTCTAAAGATGGAAAACTCTATCTCTCCCAACACAAAAGAAAATCTGTCTCTATCTAATTCCCCTGTGCAAGCTTGGTTCTGCCCCCAAATTACACAGAAAGAGTATCTAATGCATCCCCCCTGTTAGCATGACAGCTATTTGAAGTTAGAGTTCATTCTGTCGCAAGCTGAGAGCCCAGGCTTCCCTCAATGTGCCCCACAGAATGGAATATTGAACTTTCCCTCTGCTTACCTCACTCAGAGTCAGAGAGGGGGTGTGTCAAAAGTTGGACATAGGAACTCAGTAAGCAACACAGAGAGAGAAGTAGAATTGTCTTTTTAATGTTTTTATGTGTATGAGTGCTTTGCCTGCATGTATGTAAGTGCACCTGTGTTGTGCAAGGGGACTTGTTATTTCATACCACACCCATTTAGGGCCTAGCTGCTTGTGTGGCTATGCACAGAAACCTAGCCTTTGCCAGTCCCAAGTTGGGGATCCCAGGACAATCAGTGGCTAGAATAAACATGGAAATCCTACCTGTGTGGACATCCCCACAGCCAACAGTGATGAAAGTGACATCATCCACGCAGTCCGAGTAGAGAAAAGCCCCTCAGGGAGGCTGGGATTCAGCGTTCGGGGAGGCTCTGAGCACGGCCTGGGCATCTTCGTCAGCAAAGTGGAGGAGGGGAGTAATGCAGGTGAGCAGGGGCCCCTGAGGGTGAGCCTGACTTAGATGTGTCCTCCACTTCAGTGGGTAGCAGGGACTGGGTGGTCAAGGATAGAAATTACCTCTGCTCTGAAAAGCTGGATCTGATGGGTGGTAGGTCCCACTCTTGGGTCAAGTGAATCAGGAGACAAAGCCTAGAGTCAAAGGGACACGGGGAGCCCACTCTGAGGACCCACCCTCTGTGAAAGAAGCACAGTTTCACCTCAGGGAGTCCCCTCTCCACTCCTGTGCAGAGCGGGCTGGCCTGTGTGTGGGGGACAAGATCACAGAGGTGAATGGGCTGAGCCTGGAGAGCACCACGATGGGCAGCGCTGTGAAGGTGCTAACCAGCAGCTGCCGCCTGCACATGATGGTGCGGCGCATGGGTCGTGTGCCAGGCATCAAGTTCTCCAAGGAGAAGACCACATGGTGAGCAGAATCTAGCCTTGCCAAGATCCAGCATTTTCCCTGCCCTCCCCAAGCAGCTCTGTTCTCCTTCCCCAGAGCCATGGCTCCAGGCTTGGTGCAACCTGGACACAGAGTAGCACCTCCCTGTGGGGCCTCCTTGTAAGACCAGAAATGGGGCCCTGGGACTGGGGGTGGGGGACAGAGTAGTAGTAGAGCACATATTTAACATGTTCCAGGCTCTGAGTTCATCCTCAGCACCGAAAACAAAATAGAAAAAAGAAATGGGGCTCTGATGTTGCAGCTGCTCAGTAGAGAGAGGTGATGCAGGCTGGTCCACAGATTTGATAAAACCTACATTCCACTGATGGTCCTGAGCCTAGGGAAGCCCCCAAATACAGCCATCCCTTTTCCAAGCAGTTTCTAGGGCTTCTGGACTTGGGATTCTTGGGGGACTTAGACCAAAGGCTCTTTGTGCAGGGTGGACGTGATAAACCGGAGGCTAGTAGTGGAGAAGTGCAGTTCAACACCTTCGGACAGCAGCTCAGAGGATGGTGTGCGGCGCATTGTCCATCTGTATACGACCTCTGATGACTTCTGCCTAGGCTTCAACATCCGTGGGGGCAAGGAATTTGGTCTGGGTATCTATGTGTCCAAGTGAGTGCCAGAGTAAAAAGGAATAACTGGGGGTTGGGCTGGAAGTGGGACTCAGTGATGGGACAACATGAGAGGCTTGGCCAACTACATGTCCAAATGAGAACCCCTGTCAGGATAGAGTCTGGGGAGGGAGCGTTGTCACCAAGGCAGACCAAGGAGAGTGACTGGGCATTCTCATAGCCAAGTGAAGGATGTCTAGGATAGGGTGAGGGAGGCAGGCCAGGGTCCTATCAACTGACACCTGTTTGTTCCCAGAGTAGACCATGGTGGGCTGGCCGAGGAGAATGGCATCAAAGTGGGGGACCAGGTCTTGGCGGCCAATGGTGTCAGGTTCGACGACATCAGCCACAGCCAGGCCGTGGAGGTGCTGAAGGGCCAAACGCACATCATGTTGACCATCAAGGTGGGCCAGGTTACTAGAGCCAGAGAGAGGCCAGACTAGAGGAGGGGCTTCCAAGAACACCCTAGCTCTTAATTAGGCCACTTGCTGTGCTTCTGATGCCATTCCCACAGCCTCATGGAAGGGAGAGCTGAATTGTTCTCGCTCCCATTTGGCAAAAGAAGGAACTGAGGCTCAAAAGGACACAGTAACCCCTAAACCAGTCAGTTATTCATCTGGTCAGTAGCCTGGCCTGACTCTGGTCCTGCTTCTCACATTTCTAGCACAGTACCTCTTCTGAGGATAAATGTCATAGCTGGAAGTATGGGGTAGGAGCTATAGCTGGACTGAGGGGATCCCTGGGGCATAGGGCAAAGAGGGCTGGTCTGTGGCCAGAGACTGGATTTCCTGAGAGATGGTGGGTTTCATTGCTCATGTGGCTCTAAGGATCAGGCCCTTCTCACACTGTGCCTACAGGAGTGATGCCTCACTGTCCCCTAGGGCCCACCAGACCCCCTGTTCTATCCTTCTCCTTCCCTGGCTATCACTCATCTCACTATTCAGTGCTTCATAGGCTATGCCCCCTCCCACCATTGCCACCTCTAGTTCCCACCTCCCTCTTCCATATTCACCTTTTCTAATTATCCCAGACATCCCTCCTAACTCCAACTCTTCCACTTCATATGTCAACAGATGTGTGTGTTGTTGTTGTTTTGGTTTTCGGAGAGTTGTCCTGGAACTCCTTATATAGCCCAGGTTAACCTCAAACTCAAGATCCTCCTGGTTAGATTCCCAGGTTTACAAGTGTGAACCACTCTGCCTAGCTGTTCAATAGTATTTTTTTTTTCTCCTATAAGGCTGCACAGGGATCAGGCAGACAAACAAGGCCTCTTGCTCCTGGAGGGAGAGAGACAAACCAGATACTTGTAGGTTGTGACAAATGCTGTCAGAAAATTAGCAGAAAGGATGGAGCAATTGAGGAAAGGCTTTGTAAGGGCAAGAAGAGAGTTGTCACAGGCTTCTCTGAGGCAGTGACATTTAAAGAACTACCAAGCTAGCAACTTGATGAGCTGAGGGAAAAGAAAATAGACAGAAGGAAAAACAAGTGCAAGGCCTGTGCTACAAGGAAATTGACATGTTTAGATATAAAACAGTCCTGGGGGATCCGGTTCCCTCTTCTGGCCTTTTCTGGCATTGTGGGCATGGGTGCACTTACATGCAGGCACAATACCCTTATACATGAAACGAAAATAAATTTTAAAAATTTAATGAAAATAAATAAGGCCAGGCGTGGTGACACACGCCTTTAATCCCAGCACTTGGGAGGCAGAGGCAGGTAGATCTTTGTGAGTCTGAGGCCAACCTAGTCTACACAGTGAGTTCCAGGACAGCTGGGGTTACAGGGAGACCCTGCCTCAAAAAGACAAAAAATAAAGAAAGAAAAAATAAATAAAGCAGTCCCTGTGGCTAAGCGGGCTACAAAGAAAGGGAGCTGAAAAGCTTACTCTTTCCAATTCATCTCACCTTCCCTTCTCACCTGCTCCTCCCTATTCCTGCCTTGTCTTTTCCAGGAGACAGGCCGGTACCCTGCCTACAAAGAGATGGTTTCTGAGTACTGCTGGTTGGATAGATGTAAGTCCCCAGAGGTGAAAGCTGAGGCTAGGGGGTTGGCTGGGACTGAAGAAGAAAAGGACAGGGACCAAGATGACCTCAGAGCTGCTTGTAGCTCCCTTTGAGGGCTTCCAGGTTCAATTCCAGACTCTTCTATGCTGGAGTCTCAGGGGGTGAGTGGATAAATGATTTGGTGAGGGCTCTCCAATGTCAATGGCAGGAGCAGCTGGCAGCTCCGACGTCTGCTGCTCTATGGTTCCTTCCTTTATTCCCAAGTCTGCCAGCCTGGCAGGGCCTCAAGGCAAACCAGGCAAACCCCTGAGCCACCCTGTCTCCTCTCCCTGCAGTGAGCAATGGGGTACTGCAGCAGCTGTCACCCGCCTCCGAGAGCGGCTCCAGCATCTCCTCTTATGCCTCCAGTGCTCCCTGCAGCTCAGGCTCGCTGCCCTCCGACCGCATGGACGTCTGCCTGGGGCCAGAGGAGCCCAGTGGCCATGGCCCAGGTTGGGGGCGGGCAGACACAGCCATGCAGACTGAGCCTGATATGGGAGGACACGTGGAGACTTGGTGTAGCATTCGGCCCACAGTCATCCTCAGGGACACAGCCATCCGCTCTGATGGCCCCTCTTCCACCCGCCGCCTTGACTCTGCGCTCTCAGAGTCCCCCAAGACTGCTTTGCTGCTGGCCCTCAGCAGACCCAGGCCTCCCATCACACGTTCCCAGAGCCACCTGACCCTGTGGGGTACGTGAGGGATGGATAGCTGCCACTTTCTCCATAGTCTCTGGTCCAAAGCCTGCCTCACAGACCAAGGAGCAGCCTCAGATCTCCCTTTGTCCCTGGGCCTAATCTAACCCCAACCCCAACCCCAGAATATTCTCAGATCTCACTCTGGGCTTCATTTTGAACCAGGCCTGCATCCCAAACCTACCCTCAGTGCCAGCCCCAATTCTGATCAGCTCTGGGCCCCAAAACAGCCCTAACTGGAGTTAGGGATTGGAATCCCTCCAGCTTGGAATGCCCAGGCCTGTTTATAAAACACACACACACACACACACACACACACACACACACACACCAGATTCCCTACACAGCTGCAGGTGTTGTGAGGGAGGGGTAGAAAGATGGAGGAGGACCCCCTACCTCACCCACTCCCAACCCTGCACAGCTGCAGATCCTGTCTGCCTCCTCTCCCTTTTCTCTGCCCTTTCCTACACCCCTGCCCCCTCCTTCCCTTCTGCCCACCCTCCAGCACCCCCCCGGGGGCTCCCTCGTGTCTGCAGAGGAGAAGAAGCAGCGGAGGAAGGAGAAGTCAGGGCCCCCTGGGGAGAAGGGGGCCCTGCAGCGCTCCAAGACGCTGATGAACCTCTTCTTCAAGGGAGGGCGGCAGTGGTGGCCAGCAGGAGACGGGCATAGAGAGGCCTGGACGTTGGACAGCAGAAGCCCCACCAAAGCCCGCCCTCACCTGGACCTGGAGAAAGGTGGGCGCAGTTCCAGGTTGAAATTCCACCTCACTTCACCACTCACTCTCACAAGTAAAACAGAAGGAATAAGGCCTATTTTAGGCATAGAGAAAATGAGTGAGTTAACAAATATAAGCCAGTACCTTGTCTAACTCTTAGAAAGTGCTCAGAAAATGAGGTGGCCACTGTCATCTTTCATCTTCCATTTTGCAGAAAGGTAAGGTGATAGATTCCCAGCACAGCAATAAGTGAAAAAGCTCAACTTGGAGTCCTGTGCACTGTGTGCTTGTGGCATCAGAAGGGCCCCTGATTTCACATCTTCCAGCCAGAGCTCTATAGGCCCAACCTAGTTTTAGACCTATCCTTGAAGAAAGTCACTTCTAATCAGGGCCCAGATAGGACTCAGGAGGGGATTTCTCTCCGCCCCCACCCCGACCTACTGCTGGGGATTGAACCTAGGTTATGAAGTATGTTAGGTAAGCAGCCCCAGCCCTAGGTAGGGATTTCTGAAAGACTCTCACAAGAAGTCTCTCCACCCTCCTGAGGCTCAGAGACAAGGCTTAGCAGACGTGTATTCCTTCAGGCTTTTGGTTCTAGCTTCCTATAGGTTGGTTTTGCTGCCACACAGGCTTTGCCAGCTTGGAAGCGAGATGGCCACTATCACTTAGTAATCCCAGGGAGGAAGTTACTTCTTCCCTGTCATGTCTTTTTTTTTTTTTTTTTTTTTTTTTTTTTTAAGCAGGGTCTCACTGTGTAGCCCTAGTGGGCCTCAAATTCACTATGTAAAACTAGGCTGGCCTCAAACTTACAGAGATCTGCCTGGGATTAAGGGTGCTGCATCACCACCAGCCTAGAGGGAACTTCTTAAACAGTTCCAAATGAAGGAGCAGAGCTATCAGAGCCTCCTGGGGTCTCCTGTCATGCTGAGCAAACCACCGAGCTATGAGAAAAAGACAAGGCAGGGACTCACAGACCTGGCAGACAGGTGTTTTGCTTTCACTGCCCACACTGGACTGTGTGTTGAGTCAAAATGCATGGGCTAAGAATGGAGGGGCAGGTCCCCAGGGGACAGTTAGGGTGCTGCTTCCAGAAGTAGGAGTGACATTGGGCAGGTGGAAGCATCCAGAGGATGGGTTGCTGGATGCTTTTCTACTCTGGGGTCGGATGTCCTGCATTCCATGAAAGAGACATCTCTCTACATCAGGGCTGGCCAGCCCCTTTCCTCACCTGTCTCTCTCCCTACAGCTCCCAGGGTGCTGCTCTCTCCTGCTTCTCAGTCCATTTCTCTGGCCAGTTCTCCCTCTCCTTCCAAGGGTTCACTTTCACTCTCTGTCCCTTGAAGGTAGGTATACCTAAACTCTGTCCTTAGGGTTCTTTCCTCCATTCATTAGTTTCCAAATAAATCTTCATAAGCAGCATTCATACTGCTTCCACTTTTTTTTTTTTTTTTTTTTGGTCCTTTTGAGACAGGGTCTTCCTGTAGCCCCAGCTGTCCTGGAACTCATTATATAGACCAGGCTGGCCTTGAACTCACAAAGATCCGCCTGCCTCTGCCTCCCAAGTGCTGGGATTAAAGGCATGCACCACCAGGCCCAGCCCTGCCTCTACGTTTGATCCACAACCTTCGCTGGCTCCCCATTGTCTATCTGGGCATGACCCTGAAGGTCCTCAAGGACCAGGCCTCAGGTCCTTACCCTGCTTACTTTCAACTAGAATTCTCTACTCCTGTTCAGCTGAGCCTCTTTCTTCTTCACAGCAGGGTGCGTGGGGCCTGTGCAGAAGTTTGTCACTTGGAGACTGAGACGCGGTAAATCCAGCATGCCAAGGTCTGGTCCACGGTAGAGCAGCAGATGGGGTGCATGTTGGGGCCCATGTAGTGGCTTTAGACTAAACTTGTTTGGGGCCAAACCTGCAAGATTAGGCAGAGAAGTGCATAACGGAAACAGCTCAGAGAACTGGGCTAAGCTTTCCAGGAAAGAGAGGTACAGACAGAGAAGAAAGTGCATTTTTGACAACTTATGATGGTACTCCCGAAGGGACTGGGGGACACCAAGGGAGCCTGTACTAGGATTCTAGTAGGGGACAGACTAGTGTGACAGTGTAGGGGGAACTGGAGTTGGCACTTCATTTGTGGGCAGTTCCCTAGGAAAGGCCATGCTGGGGAACATGGGCACACTGGGATTCTGTCCCTGGGGACCTAGGCAGCTCAGATGGCCTCTTTGGAGTCTGACTCTGCCAGAGAAGCTCTAGCCAGCCCCACCAGTTCCCAACACCTTCAATGTGTCTTCTTACCCCTGCCCTGCAGACCGGGAGAGGGGCCAGGCCCTGCTCTCTGGCAGGTCTGGGAGCCCCACTGGTCATCTGCCCAATGTGGATGAGTGGGTGCAGGCCTGGGAGAGTCGACGACCCCTCATTCAGGACCTGGCCCGGCGACTGCTGACAGATGATGAGGTGGTGGCGGTCACTCGCCACTGCTCCCGGGTAAGCCTAGCTACCCACGGCCCTGGCCTTTCATTCATTCAGACCACTGTCCACTAACTAGTACCTGGGCTTTCGTTGTTTAGAGGCCAATGGCCAATAAAAGCACACACACACACACACACACACATACACACACACACACACACACACACACACACACACCATAGCTCCCAGTTAGAGAGGAGAAATAAGACAATAATTAGATCTAAATACCCCTGGTGACTAATTCTTCAGAGTATTGTGAAAGACAGACATGGGAAGGCCTCCCTGAGGAGGAAACATTTAAACTGAGGAGAAGAGACTTTGTGGCAACTGTTTGTGCCCCCTCTAAGCCCCTGGCCTTGTTTCCCATATCCCCTTCTCTTTCTGGGACAGCCAGCAGGTGTGACCTCATGACAAGCCCCTGTCCCTGTTTCCCAAATAGGTAACCCTTTACTTGGCATCTCAGCCCTCCTCCAGTACCTAAATCCTTCTGTTCCCTTCCATTTCAAACTGAATTGAAGGGCTCTTTGTGGGGTGGGAATCAGATCTGAAGAACATCCTGGAACCTTAGTGTTGTGAAGGCTGTGGGATGCAGCTCACCCCTGCAGGAGAACTGGAAGGTCCTTTCCTATCTCTCTGTCTCAGAGACCCCCAAGGGAGCATGCATCAATGTACACTGTAGGCAAGCTTGGTGATTTTAGAAAATCATGTGCTCCTTCGCCCTCAGGATGAAGCTGTAAGTGCATCTGTGTGGTGTGTTCACTGGCATGTCTGTGTGGTATCTGGTTTGTGTCATCATGTCTGCATGATTTTTATGCATAACACGCATGTGTATACCCATGTATTGCCACTTGAAGCCCAAGATGTGGTCATTCATACATCTTCTTACTAAGGCCTGGTTCACAACAGAACTGCAGATGGGGGCGCTCCTGTCAGGGGGCAGCTACCAGGCTCTGTGCTAAATTCAGTGTGTGTCACACACAGCTCTAAACACTTGAGTACCCAAACTAGGTGTACGAGCTCCAGTGAGCCTGAAACTCTGAGCTATGGCCACTAGGTGGGGCACTAAATCTGTATATTTGGCCTCTGTCTTTTTCCTAATCCCTGCACTCCCTAGGCCTCCTCAGATAAACCTCATCTCACTGTGTCCCCACATGTCCTGTCGACTCTGCATATTGTTCACACCCAACCCAAGCCCCCAGCACCTTCTGGGATGGAGTCCTGGCCTGAGGGATAAAGTTTTCTAATGAAAACTTTTTAATATATATTTTATTTTTATGTGTATGAGTGTATTGCCTGCATGTATGTGAGCGCACCCGTGTCATGTAATGCTGCTGAGATCAGAATAGGGTGTCAGATTCCCCTGGAACTGGAGTTAAGGACAGTTCGTAGCAGCCATGTGGATGCTGGGAATTGAACCAGGGTCCTCTGTAAGAGCAGTCACAGTGCTCTTAACCGCTGAGCCGTTTCTCCAGCCCCTCTAATGAAAACTTTCTAATGAAAGCCCAGGCTTCCCCTCTCTCCTGAGTCACCCCATCCACATCCCCCAGACCAGAATTTTCAAACTACCTTTCTGATTGCTTTACACTTGCCAAGCCACCTAGTGGACCCCTTAGGAGTTAGAATACAGTACAAGTTGCTTTCCCTCACATTCAAGGCTCTCCCTGATGTGACACCTCAATCTCAGCTTTTGGCTTCCCCAGGCCACCACCTAGTTTATACAAGTTGTGAGCTGCATAACTTTAGGGGATGCTAGTCACATAGTACTCAACCTGTGAAGTCCTACATGGAAGGTCTGCATAGACCCGAGGCCACATTAAACCTTTGTTTACTCTGTATGCCTGTGGAACACTTTCCTCCCCAACTTCCATGCTGCATCCTGTATCCATCCTGGAAGAATTTGTAGAGCTGTCACTGCATCTAAGAGGCCCATTCTGATCCTCCACCCTCCTCTAAAACTCTCTCTGCCCCATTGCCAGTGGTTTTCAGTTGACTGCCACATGAAGCTTATCTGCCCCTTGTTCCCACTACAATCCCTGAGGATCTGAAAGAGAGTCTTAGTATTATTGTGCCTCTACTGCTCAGTCAGTGTCTGACACAGTAGATGCTGAATTCAGGTTTATGGAGTTGAAAGACATGCACATATATGGCTGGTTCTACATAGTGTGTTCCTCTCTCCAGACAAAAGGGGAGTGTATTGTTGATATATGTGAGTCCCTGTGACTTTCTGTGGAGTTTAGGGCCACATTCATACTTTATATTTTATTTATTCCAAATATTTCAATCACTCTGACTTCCAGAACACACCCTACTTCGATGTCTGTGCCCATAGGAGGTACTGTGCAGATGTCTCTCTGCAACTGCCTCCTTTCACCACCAGGGGCGATGTGCTGTCCAAGTAGCTTGGCTCGCAGTATTCAGTTCTCCAGAGTCCATGGGGTGTGGCATCCGGGCTGGTGGCATCCAGGCAGTGCCAGGCAGAAGGGTACTGACTTGGGAGGCTTTCTGTGGAGCCACTTGTTCCCCCAAGGTCATTCCAGCCCTGAAGAAAGTGCTGGGACAGCCAGGACCACAAGCTTCTGTCTTGCGGGGAGGGGAAGAGGGAGAGTCCAGTCCCTGCACAGTTTTCCTGCACCACAGTAGGCAAGAACTAGATGTCTTCTGTTCTAGTTTCTGCTTACATTTCCTTATCTGTGTGGCTTTGAGCAAAGTTCTTTTTGAGCCTCAGTTTCCACATCTATAAAACAGGAATCATCTCAGAGTGGCTGATAAATAAGAGACCATGTTTTTTTTTTAATTATTATTATTATTATTTTTTTTGGTCTTTTTGAGACAGGGTCTCCCTGTAGCCCTAGCTGTCCTAGATTCACTATGGAGACCAGGCTGGCCTCGAACTCACAGAGATCTGCCTGCCTCTGCCTCCCGAGTGCTGGGATTAGAGGCAAACGCCACCACACCCGGCTTAATTTTTATTATTTTTATTTTATGTGTACAAGTGTATTGCCCACCCATATGTATGCACCCGTGTTGTGCAATCCCTCAGTGGTCAGAAGAGGGTTGTGGATTCCCCTGGAACTGGAGTTAAGGACAGTTCTTAGCTGCCATGTGGGTGCTGGGAACCGAACTTGGAGCCTCTGCAAGAGCAGTCAGTGTTCTTAATCGCTGAGCCATCTCTCCAGCCCCATAAGAGACCTTATGTAAAAGTCTTGGAAAGGTGCCAAAGCCACTATTGCTGTTTTTATTTATTGCACATCTGCCATGATCATTTTAGGCATCCACAAGTCATTGATATAAGACCATCCTGTGGACCCTGGGTGGGTGAACCTTTCTTAGAGCACAGTTTGCTGGATGGGCCCCAGGGTCCCTGCATGCCCTGGCATTTCTTCTCACCCAGCCCTGGAGTCCCTGTTGCTGACTGACCTGTGGTGGTGCCTCTATCTGCAGTATGTACATGAAGGTGGTGTGGAGGACCTGGTGCGGCCCCTTCTGGCCATCCTGGACAGGCCAGAGAAACTGCTGCTGCTGAGGGACATCAGGTGGGGAGGGGCTTGAGGGGTGGGCTGGGGCAGGGCTGAAGCTCCTCCCTCTGTCCCTCACCTCCTAAGCAAGCCCTCCTTACCCATCTTTTGCCTCCCCCCAGGAGTGTGGTGGCCCCCACGGACCTTGGTCGCTTTGACAGCATGGTGATGCCTGTGGAATTAAAGGCTTTCGAGGCTCTCAAGAGCAGGGCAGGTCAGCAGCTGGGGCAGGACTTTTGGCTCTTGGGCCCCAGATGTGGGTGGGACTGGGGGGGGGTATAAGCTGCCGAGCCCATCTGGGAGCCTGACAGTGGTGCCTGGCCTCTGATCTGCTCTCTTCTCCAACCAGTGAGGCCTTCTGCTTTGAGACCAGCCAGACAAGACACACCACCCAAGCGTCACCTCATCACCCCTGTGCCTGGTCAGTCAGAGTCCCAGAGCCTAGAAAGAGGGAAACCCCAGGGACATTAGAGCAGGGAAAACAGGCCTTCCATCCTGCCTTGGATCTGGGTCATTGCGGGTCAGAAGGAAAGCCCCTTGGCCACTGTTATCGGATCTACCCATACTCGGACCATTATTTGAGACCATTATTTCATAGGGTGCTTTAAAACCACACTTTTATTTTTTATTTTATCTTATTTATTTATTTATTTATTTATTTATTTATTTATTTATTTTTTGTCTTTCTGAGGCAGGGTATTCCTGTCGCCCCAGCTGACCTGTAACTAACTATATAGACCAGACTGGCCTCAATCTCACAGAGATCTGCCTGCCTATGCTGGGGTTGCAGGCATGCACCACCACAGCCAGCTAAAACCACACACTTTAAAATCTAGTTTCTTAGATATGTTAAAGTAGAGCTGAATTACAATACAAAATACTAAGATGATAGTATAATGTTTTTCCACAGTGTCTCTTACTGTGGGACATTTTGCAATGGACCTGAGCAAACCCAAGCCTGGTTTGTACACACTCAGGTCCTACAAACAACAGCAAAAATCAGGGTCTGGAAAGGTGCCCCCTATGCTGGAAGATTGAAAGGGGCAGGCTGACCTTGACCCTGTTCTCCAGATAGCCGAGGAGGCTTCTACTTGCTGCCGGTGAATGGCTGCTCAGAGGAGGATGACAGAGAGATAAGGGAGCGGTTGGGGGGCCTCAAAGTCTCCCTCAGTGCCTCTGTCCCCCGGCACCACCATAAAGGAATTCCTCCTCTACAAGATGTGCCAGTAGATGCCTTCACCCCACGCCGAAGTGTGTGTACACCTCCTCCCCAGCCACCTCCTGTGGCTCCCCGGCCTCCCAGGCCCAACTGGCTACTGACAGAACCCCTAAACAGAGAGGACCCCCATCAGAATCAGAGCCAGGCCCCAGCCCAAAGCCGAAGCCACAGCCACAGTCGAGGTCAAGGCAAGTCCCCTGGGCGCAGGCGCTCCCCTTCTCCCACTCCCATCAGTACTGCCAGCACATCCAATGGGCGCTACTACAGGCCTCGAAAGGCCCGGCCCTCCCTTCCCCGACCTCTGGATGGGCAGGTAGCCAGACAAGGGCCCTCAGAGAATGGAGCTGGTGGAACAGCTGAGGAGTCAGTCATGAAGGCCTCCACTGGAGAGCTGAGGACAGTCTCGCTGTCCAAAATGAAGCAGTCCTTGGGTGAGTTCAGGTGATGCTGGTGATGCTGGACCAGGCAGGGTGGACTTTTGGGTTTGAGTGAGTTTGGTGGGCCAGGAAAGGAATCTAGGTACTGAGATACACAGTTGGGGAAACTAGAGCTGGAGGTTGAGACTAGAAATCAAACCAAGGTGGGAAGACATGGGGGCAGGCCTAAATTTGGGGGTGGAATCCTAGGTTCCTCCTGGGAACTCAGGGCTTGGGGGTGAGACCGTTGCCAATGCTTTGAACCCTCTGCAGGCATCAGCATTTCAGGGGGCATTGAGTCCAAGGTGCAGCCCATGGTGAAGATAGAGAAGATCTTCCCAGGTGGAGCTGCCTTCTTCAGTGGGGCCCTACAGGTTGGTAAAGCACTAGGCTTGGAGTTGGAAGTGTGGCTGGGTGCAGGTCTGCTCCACATTCATCTTCCAGACAGGCATGTTCAGACCAGGTCCTGAAAGGATGTTTGGGGGGAACAGGGGTCAGACCAGCTGGGCAGGCCAAGGGGACAATCTGTCTCCTCATGCTAGCCTGGGCCTGAGGACAGGCCCATCCTGTTTTACCCTCTTCCCAAGGGATAAAGGGCTATTGTCTGTGCCCCACCCTGCCCCCAACTGGCTCCTGGCACAAAAGTCCCATTGTCCATCTCCAGCACTCAGATGGGGAGGAGTGTCCTAGCTGGTGGAGGTGAGAGGCCTCTGCCTTCAGGTTGGGTTGTAGGTGGGAATGGTATGAAGAGGGTTTGTTCTATTCTTATTCCAGGCTGGCTTTGAGCTTGTAGCAGTGGATGGAGAGAGCCTGGAGCAGGTGACCCACCAGCGAGCAGTGGACACCATCCGCCGGGCTTATCGAAACAAGTCTCGGGAGCCCATGGAGCTTGTGGTCAGAGTCCCTGGATCTGGCCTGCTGCCTTTACCCTCTGATCCATCAGACCTCATGGACCAGAGCCTTCCTGCTAAAGGTTCCTCTGCCCATAGACCCCTTGATGCCACTCCGATTCATACCCAGCCCCCTCCTTCTGAAGATAGGCTCCTACAAGACTCTCAACCCAGCCCTCAAGCTCCCCATGAACCTTCCCATTGACAAGTCCTCTTGCTGATGGGTTCCCTCCTGCAGACTCAAGGCACCTCTGTCCCATGTGTCTTGACTGCTGACAGAACCATACAGGTGGTTCTCATATTCCCAGTCTCTCCTCCCAGGTGTCAGTAAGATTACCCTTTCAAGATAAGCTGGATGTCCAAGGACAGACAGGGTGTTAGTAGACAACCTGTGTCATTTGCACCCCTTGCTCCCTGACCCCTCCTGACAGAGAAACCTCGGGTCTGAAACCTGGAACTAGTGGGAGTTTTCTCTTGATGCCCCTGGCTCCCCCAAACTTTGTGGAACTTAAAGAGTTTTCAGGGAGTCAATGTATCCATCCCCCAGGCTGAAGCAGCCTTCAGTGTAAAGGACAGGCTGGGAAGACTTTTCTGATCCTCATTGAGACTCATTTTGTGGTTCACTAATACCTTCAGTTCTACCGGATTTTTCCTACCATGACCCTTCCTCCCTCTTAAGAGCTCCACGAAGAGTAGGTAAGCAGACAGGAAAGAGGGGACAGACATCAAACAAGTTCCCCTGCAACTGTTTATCCAGCATATTTTTTTTAAAAAAACAACAAAAAATCTTTTTTAATTTTTTCTTTGGATTTGTACAAGAAATTTACAGTGTGAAAAATATACAAGTGAAAATGAGGCCATAAACCTGGGTGCTAGGAGGGACTGCTTGGTCACAAACACAAATAAATGACATTGCTGTGTTCTTCCTTTGGTCTGACTTCAACCCCCTTAGCCCATAAGAAGCTGCAGAGCTGAGATAGGATATGGGGCTCAGACCCCAGACTCCAACCCTGTTCCTCAATATGGGCATGGTGGGAGCAGGCACATCTGGAGCAGCTGGTGCCACCTGGCTCTCTCTGGTTTCGGGCAGGTAGAGTGTGGAGATGGGGAGAGCCCTTTTCTCTTCCCAGTTCTCCTGGCTGGAGTTGCCTGGCAAACATCTGGGGCAAACAGGGCTGGCAGTGGCATGGGCAGCTGGGGAGTGAAATGGTGATGTAGGTAGGATGAAACTTCTGAGTGACAGTGAACAAGGACCTTTTATAGGGTATGATCTTGCTCTTCTAAGTCACAGGGCCACCTGGATTCTTGGCAGAGGCCCTGAAGCCTCTTGCAAAGCCCTAGATTTCAGTGGCAGTGATCTCTTCCAGGCAGATGCAGGGGGCCGGTTCTGCCAGGCCCAAATCAGCAAGCTCACGGGCCTCCAGCTCCAGGCTGAGTTGCTGCAGCTCTTGCTCCAGCTGTCGGTTACGCCTATACATCTGGATGTAGTTGTGCTGCAGCTGCTTCTGGTAGCGGATCACCTGTTCCTTCTCCGCCTGCCAGGCCAGCCGCTCCCCCTCAAAGCTGTCCCGCTGCTCATCTCCCCGGCGACGCTCTCGCTGCAGCTCTGCCCGCAGCCGCTCCACCTGTGCCCGCAGGCTGCCCCCTGCCCCGGCCGCTGCCCGCTGCACCTTAGCCTCATCACTCTCTGCCAAGAGGAACGGGTCAGCGGTGGCAGGTGGCACAGGGGGCTCCCGGAGTCCTGCCACTTCCGCATTCAACTGCCCAGCCTTCTCCCGGAGCCGCTCTGCCTCTTGGCGGTGCCGCTGTAGCTCCTGGGAACAGGTCTCCAGCTCCAGCTCCCTAGCTCGAGCAGCCTCCTGCAGGCCACGAGCCCGTCCCTCACTGACCCGCAGGGCAGCCCGGGACTCCCGCAGAGCCACCCGCAGAGCCACCAGCTCGCTGCCCTTCTGTACCAGCTCTGCCTGAGACTCTTTCAGTTGCTGCTTCAGCAGGGAGATTTCGCCTGATTTCTGGCACACCTGGGGGTACAAAGTGGTTGAAAAGGATGGTGAAGACTCTCTAGAAGGTTGGGTCCTGGCATCACACTGAGCAATCAGGGAGCAGAGGCCATTTCCCCTCATTTTACAGATGGAGACACAGTTGGAGACTAGTGACATGTCCAAGGTCATACTGTTAGTTAAAAACCCAAAGGGGTCCCGTGGTGGTGCACACCTTTAATCCCAACAGTGGTGGGCAGAAGCAGGCGGCTCTCTTGTGAGATGGAGGCCAGCCTGGTCTACATAGAGAGTTCCAGACCAGCTGGGGCTACAAGGAGACTGTCTTGAAAAACAACAAAAATGCCAAAGGGGAACACAGAACCAGATCTTTTTCCTTCAAAGCTGGTGTCCTTAAACCATCATCAGATGCTGTATAAGCACTGTCTAGCTCTGGTGGCAGGTATCCAGGAGTGGGAGCAATCCAGGGCAGTGCTCATATGTCCAGGTGAGAGGCAAGTGTCTTGGGCAAGAGCAAACATCAAAGTCAAACTGCCTGGGTTCAATTTGCAACACAACCACTGTTAGTGTAATTCTAGGCTCTAATCTTTCTGGGCCTCAGTCTCCTCATTAATAAAATGGAGATTTTTAATAGTACCCACTTAATAGGGAAGGCAATGCCGTTAGCTATTCAGGCACCAGATCAGACCAAGGAGATCCAACAGAGACATGAGGAACCCCATACCATGCCCGAAAGTAAGTGCAAACCCTTTAGGGTGCCTGGCCCAAGCCATTTCTGCAGGGTATGTCCCAGGATGACCCTCCTACCTACCCAGTCTCCTGGTCTGGCATACCTCCCATTTGGTCTCCTCCAGCCGTGGCCCGAGTTCCCGTTGCTCTCGCTCGAAGGTGGCACATCGTCGTTCCAGCTGTTCTCGTTCCTGCAGCAGCTGTGCAAAGTCATCCTGCAACTGTCGCTTTTCTTGCTGCAGCTGGAACACCTGCAGCTGAAGCAGCTGTTGGGCCCGCTGGATGCGCTGTGTGGCTTGCTGTGCCTGGGCTACACAGTCTTCCCGCTCTCTCGGCCAGTGCCGCCGCTGCTCCCCAAATGCCTAAGGCAAGAAGGCAGGCTAGACCCCTGCAGGTCCTCCATACCCTGAGTCGCAGCCACTCCTGCTCCCACCACTCACTACTTGGGTGGCTCCCTGCCTGGCTCAGGGTAGAGTCTACAAACCCAATAAACTGTGACAATAGCGAAAGCAAGCATTTACAAGGCATTTCCTAGGTGTCTGGTATTATTTGAGCATGATGTACCTTTTGCTTTATTTAATCCTCATAACTCTATAGGTCCAGAACTATTCCCATTTATAGACAAGGAAACTGGGGCTCCATAAGGTTAAGTAACTTAATTGAGTCTAGCAGATGGTATGTGCCAGTGTTGGGTCCAATTCATATACCCTGCCTCCTCACTGCACTGAAAGTGAAGCTAGGATGCTTGGAGGTGTAACAATGAGTTCTTACCCCCTCCCTCTCCAACAGCAAGGCTACCCCTCCCCAATAGCAAGGCTTCCAAGCGTTGTTCTGATACTCCATCCTAGTACTGCGGATGGCCACACCTGACACATGGTAGCTTCACTCTCATCCAGACTGTCCCGTAGCTGCTGCAGTTCTGTCTCTCGGTCTCGGAGCTTCCCTTCCAGGACACACTGCAGCAGGGCCTCATCAGAAGGGGGTGGAGGGGGCGGAGGGGGTGGAGAACGGTCTCCACCAGAGCTGCTTCCAGGGGAGGCCCGGGCAACACTGTTTAAGAGTCCCCCAGCCACACGGCCCCCCAAGGAACCTGTGCTCTTGCTAGAGGAGGATCGGCCACTGTCTGAGTGGGAGGGCCCAGTAGGGGCCCCTCGGGTTGGCCCAGGCAGTGCCCCTCGGCCAGGGCCATGAGAGGGCAAGTGCCCGCCTGGGGAGTTGGTAGTCGGTTCAGCACCACTTGTGCTGTAGGTGGGCAAGCTAGACAGAGAATTTCGACCAGAGTCTGACAGTGTTCCTGATGGGCAGCCATTGGCCCAACCACTCAATGCCAAGGGTTTGTCAGCAGCAGAGGAGGAAGAAGAGGAGGATGAGGAGGCTGGGCCCCCAAACAGCTGTGTCAGGCTGCCCTGGCTCCCAGACAGCCCAGCAGTCCGAGGACCCAGGAAGCCAGGTAAGGATGGTGCTCCTCGAGGTTTGGGCAGCACTGGCTTGAAAGCTGTTGGCCGGATCAGAATTTTCTCCATGTTCTGAAATGAGGGGTCACATGACAGGTGAAGATGAGCTGCCCAACCCTTCCTTTCTTGCTCCTGCCTCAGCTCACCAAGTATTGGAACTGCAGGTGTGAGCTACCATGCCTACCTCACTTGCCCAGGCATTCAAAACCCGTTCTCTCCTTCTATCCCCCCCTCTCTCCCTTCCTTCGTGGTATATTGCTGTGTGCACACCCGTGTGTGTGTGAAGGCTGAAGGTTGAAGTCAGGTGTCTTCCTCAATCATTTTCCACTTTATTTTTTGAGACAGAGTCTACCACTGAACTTGCAGCTCACCAATTTAGCTAAACTAGTTAGCCAATAAGCCCCAAGCATCTGCCTGTCTCTGTTACCCATGTGCAGGGATGACAGGCCTATGCCACCATGCCAGCTTTTTAACATGGGTTATGGGGATCCGAGCCCAGGTGCTCATGCTTGTCCAGCAAGCACTTTATCCACTGAGCATCTCCTCAGCCTCCAAACCCTGATCTTTCAAATCCCTGTCATATTCCCTGCCTTCCCACAAGGGGTTCTCAACCCAGTTCAAAAGGTTCATTTAAATAATTACAACAGCCATGTAAGTAAAATATCCCTAGTCCCATATAACACATGACAAAATGCAGACTCAGCAAGACAAAGGCTTCGCCCAAAGTCAAACTCATAGCTACTGTATTTAATAGCTGAAGCAACTAATACTATCTTCTAGGTGCTAGACACTATGTTAAGCATTATTTAATGTTCAGGACAGTCTATGAATACTGTCCTATAGCCTATAACCTTAACTATGCAGACACAGAAAATGTGGCTCAGACAGGTTGTCATTTCCCTGAGATCATACAGCCAGAATGAGAAAGAGCAGGGACACAGCCCTCATTCTTTGCTCTATATAGGCTTCCAAATTCTATCTTCCCTAAGGGACTCCTGATTCCACCCAGGTCCTCCCAAAGGGCCTGGTCCTTACCTTCTCCAGCTTTCCAGAGACAGGGATGAGCTTTGGTGGGGGCCCTCGGAGGTGGGCATTGTGTGCCCGTTGCTCTCGGGTATCTTCAACATCACTGCTTGGACTGGGGGGTGATTCCGTCCGGAAGTCCTCATTAATGTAGGTAAAGCTGGTGCCAGGGACAGCCTTCCTGGGTGGCACAGCTGGGCAGAGCGGCTCCTGTGCCTCATAGCCACCCCGTAGCAGCCCATCCTGCTGGCGGAAGAAGGTGGGGCCAGGGGCACCATGGTGGTGTGGAGGAGCCAGTCCTCCCGGACAGGGCCGGCCTGAGATGAGACTGCTCACACTGCCCATGGCTGGAGTTTGTGGGGCAGTGGCAGTCTCAGGAGCGGGCTCCAGTGGTACAGGCAGAGTGTGCACAATGGCCATGGTGGCAGAGGCTCAGGCCTGGCCAGGGGCCTCCAGGGCAACCTGTGAGCAGGGCAGTGGTGTCAGAGTCCCTTGAGCACCTTCAGTCCCCTCCCTATACAGGCCTTCTCTTAATCTCCTGCTCTAGGCCAAACACCCCTGACATCAGTTAACAAGGCTCCCCTCCAAGTATTGGCATGACTCTCAATTCCCTCTGGGCCCTAGACCACTGTCCAACTCTAGTCTGGACAGGACTGAGGATTAACTCTACCAAACAGATGATTAGGGAACAAGAAACCTAGGAGTTTATGCGGGGCCATTTGGCAGGGGGGGACCTAGCCCCAAGCCTAAACCTGCATCCCCTATAAAGGCCAAGACTCAGGTTGAGCAGACAGCCCTAAGGACTAGCTCCCAGCACAGGTCCCTACTCTCTTGGGACAGGTGGCCTCATTACAGGGCCACTTGGGCAGAGCAACCATCAGGGACACAATCAGTAACTCAGACGGTAATTAGGGAACAAAGAGCCAAGGCCTCGCAGTGCCCAGCCTCCCACAGCTAGGACTCAGTTTCTCCCAGACAGAGAGGCGGCAAGGGTGGAACTGGCCAAACAGGAACTCAGAGCTCTGAGGAACCCACAGGTGCTCTCTGGGGTCCCCCACTTCCCAGAGGTGGATGCACGCGCATGCCTGTTTCCATGACAACTCTCAGCCCCTGCCATCCAACTGGTCAGATCTAAGAGATCTTCTCCAGGCCCTGTCCCACTGCCAATCTCCATTTAATCATCCCGCTTTAGCTGACCGCTAGGGTAATCCCCATGGGATACAGGCAGAAACCCACCACGCCTCCAGTAGACTCAATAGAGAGCTCCACCTCCCTAATCCTGCTCCTTCCTGGAAGGGGATAGCCAGCCTTCACCCGGAACTCCCTCCCAGTCCTGAGGCTGATGACCAGAACTTAGGCATCTGCTGAAGTCATCATGCACAGCAGGGGCCAAGATATGGACAGAGGATTCCATGAGAAGAGCATGTACATTTGCTTCTGGGTGTGAGGGCATGTACCAGACCATGAAAATGAACTGCATTTATGAAAGTATGAGGTGTGAGTACATGTACGTTTAGACAGAAGTGTCTGTACATTCATACATATGTATGTGTGGTTGAGGGGAGGGGAAAAGTTGAAACATGGCTGTGCTATATAGCCCAGGCAGGTCTCAGCATTCTGAGTGCTGGGATTACAGGCTCCTGCCACCACAAAGAGCTATACGTGGGAATTCTTATGTCTTATAGGATGATGTGTGTAAATAGAGGGTTACTTGTATAAAGTATATGTAAGTTATGATGTGTATGTAACAAACAAATCTGTAGCTTCTGAATGTGACTATATTATGAAAAAGTGGATACACCACCCATTCAGATATATGTAAGCTGATGTGTGAACGTCTATGCATATATCTTATACAGCATGTGAACAGGAAGGTGTGTACAAGTACCTGTGGAATCTGTATGAGTGACCATGTGTGGCAGTGGGTTGAGGGCTAGGTGACATTCAAGACCACCTGGGTGACTGTGAGCCTGCCTTTTTTTTCACTCAAGGGAGTGGGGAATGGTGAGACCCACAGTATCTGAACCCTTTGCCCCATCTGTTCTTTCTTGCTTTCCATTAAGTCCCTCCAAAGTGTTAAAGACACCGAGACCCACAAGAGTCCAACCTGAGGGAGGAGTTGCTAGGAGCCGGGGTAGCAGGAGAGCAGGGAACGGGGAGCAATCATAGGCCTCTATGTAGGGCTGGGGGCTGAGATTGCCCTACAAGGTCCAGCCAGAGATATGAATCACTCCAGAGTATGGCAAGAACAGTAGGGAAAGGGCTGGCACTCCTGTGTGCACTTCTCCACTCCAGGGTACACAGAAAGTGAGACGCAGACAGAAGAAGGGCAAGGGCAGCAGCAGGCAGACTCGGGGAAAAAAAACAGAGACCCAAAGGTAGACAAAGACAGAAGAAGCCAGTGGCTGACCCAGGAGTCAGGGTCGCTGAAGCCACGCTGGCAAAGGTCCCCTTAAAGCCAGAGGGGCGTAAAGCTGCGCTTTAAGAGCCAGGCGTCTGGAAAGCCAGGCCTAGCCAGTAAGGCTCCCGCTCTTGAGGCCCAAGAGAGAAGGAGGGGCAAGCGGCTCCATTTTGAGAAATGCGTTTGTAGCTGTGGGAAAAGGAACCCCTCGTTCTTTCCAGCACTCCCCGAGGTATCACTATAGTACAGGGACCCCCGCAGTGGGGTGGGGGATCTGAGGGTTGGGGCCCAGCCTGAACGGGAGAGGAGTCTGGCCCATGTTCCAACTCTCTGACCTCAGGATTGGGGGTTGGAGAGTTGAGGAAAGTGCCCCCACAAACTCCAGAGACCAGTCAAGCGGGATCCAGTCTGAGATCACCAGTTCCCATTCCGAGACTGGAAGCCCGGAGTCCCCAGGCCTACCCACGAGAGTCCACCCCATTCCACCAAGTGGGGGAGCCCAAGGAATGCCGCCTCGCTAAGGGACCACACCACGAAGAAGTTGGGCGCCCCCAGCCCCGGCCCCCTCACCTCCGCCACGCTGCTCCATGCTCAGCCCCGGGTCGCCCCAAGCACTCCACAGGCGCTCCGCTCGCTCCAGCCCGCGCGGCCACTCGGAGCGGCCGGCCCGGCCCCACCTCCGCCTCTCCGGCGCCCCCAGCCCTGGCCAGCCCCCGCCCGGCCTGAGTGGGCGGCGCGCACGACGCGGGGGAGGGGTCCCCCGAGTGTCTCCGCCCCGGGGCGCGGACACGCGCAAGTACCCCACGTCACGCGTGCCCCCCAGGGCGCACGCAGGGGTTGCACGGTGGCGCCCAGGATCCCGTCCGGAAAGGTCCAATGGGTTTTGGAGGCTCGATCGGCTCGGGATTCGGGGAGCGGGTCATCCTCTACCCCGGGCCCGGAGGCCAGCGGTAGCTGGTCATTGTTCCAGCACAAAGAGCCAAGGCGCGGCGGCCACCCCTCCCCCTCCGCTTCTCTCGGAGAAGCTGCCCTCCCCAGACACTCTCCAGCTTCCCACTTCAGAGCGAAGGCGGAGGGTCAGCTGCCCCTCTCCGGTGGCACAGGCTCGGGTCGCTGCCTGTCCCACCCCCAGCGGGTTGGAGGTCGCACACGCGGATGTGCGGAGGCGGCGCCACCTGGCGGTCCCTTCCAGCAATATATCAGTCGCCCCCCGAGTCGACACCCCCACCCCCATCCCACTCTCTTCCTAGTGCAAGACCTGTATAGGTCACGAAGCCTGCTGCCCCTGGCGTGGATCCGGGATTCCCAGCCTAACCTTAGGGTCATTTGATATGAGAAAGACTGCTGCTCAAAAAGGGGTGGCCCCCAGCCCCCAACAATCTCTAGAATTAGTGGTGCAAACCTACAGTAGTCCGAACCTCCACTGGCTCCACAGCAGACAGCATCCCACTGTCTTTCTCAGGGTCACAAACATTTTTACCCTCTGGAAAACAATCCAAACACCCACACGACCTTTCCCACATTCTGTTTCGGGCAGCCACAGTCTCATCCATCACGTGGTACCACGTTCCTTCATTCCATAGACTTTCAAGTCAACCTCACAGACACTTGGTGTAGCATGCTTGTTGTTCACACTTTCACAAGTTTTTCACACCCAGTCACAACCTTAAACACAGTCTCCTAACCCTTCAACCTCAGGCCAACTCACAGAGACACTTGGTGTTGTTGCACACTTACTCAGTAACAATCTTAAATATACTCAGTCTCCCAACCCTTTTCCATGCATTGACAACCGTATTCAACCACTCAGGCAACTTCTTACATCATGTTTCACAAACAACCCACTTTCTCTGAGGGGTCTCTGTGACCTGGTCAGGTCAGCTGACCCCCACATCCTCAGACAAGGCCGCCCTCCCTTCCACTCTGTCCCCTCCCCCCAGGGCCAAGGCCTGCCAGAGCCGAGATTGGCCCCAGGAAGAAGCATTCCCCCCCTTTCAGGCCACAGCCTGGCCGGCTCTCAGCTCTATTTTTAGCTCCATGGAAAGGGTTGTTTTTCTTTCTTTTTCCCTGGAAAGGGAAACACAGCCCAGCCACCCTCAGGCTCACTCCAGCCCCTCAGCCTCATAAGAACAGACTGAACCCCTCTCCCCAGTAGACCCCCTCCTCGGGTCTAGCCCTGATCCCTGCCTCCTGGGGCACCGGCAGCCTCCTCCCCTTTCTGGCCACCAGCCCAGAAGCTCAGGCAGCAGCTGGGTTCAGCGTGTGGAGGGGTGAGGGGTGTGGAGGGCGATAGGTGGGTGGGTTGGGGGAGGAGATAAAGCCCCCCTCCCTCATTCCCTGTGGGGGGGGTCTCGACCTTCTTCTAGAGGCGGTAACACACCCTCCCCACAGGAATCGAAGAGGTATTGCTCTCAGGCATTCCTCGTGTTGGGGGGGAAACCCTGCCCCTCTTGCATGGGTGGGCTTTTTGTGCCTAGACTGGGGGCAGCTCCCAGGCCAGCAAGGGGAGGTGGAGGGAGGAGGTGGACCTATGCTGCTCCCTGGGCTGGGTGTGTGAGACAGGGGCAACTGTTGCGGGCCATCACGGGCCTGCCTCCAATACCTTTCAGAGCTGCGGGTTCCGAGAACGTGTTAGGGAGCAGGAAGAAAAGGAGTTTAAGTAACCTCATCCCGATCCAGCACTCTCCGGGCCTCTCGTGTCCCGCAGACTCCTGGGGGCGTCGTGCTCCCATTCCGGAAGAGAGGGTTTATCACCGCTCCAGGCGGAGCGTGGAATATACTCCTCTCCCGGGCCAAGCAAGCACGCCAGAACCCGGGACAGTTTTTACGTCTCAGTCCTCACCTGCAGGCGGCCGGGAAGCCGGAACCTCCTGATGCGACCCACCCCGCCCGCCGCCGCCTATGGTCACAGGGCGGCTCCTTTTCCCCAGTCTTCGCCAGAAAAGCTCAGCGCCCATCCCGCTTGGGGTCGTGCGGGAGGCTGGCACGGCCTCAGGGACTGTTAGGGTGTCTAACCGTGAGCGTCCTCCTTGAGCAAGCACGTGTGTTCGTGTGCTATGTGCGTGGGTCTATGCATTCGTGTATGTTCGTGCGTCGGTGTGAGTTTCTGTGTCGCTCTGCTGTTCACACTTCGCCTGCGCCCCACCGATGAGGACCCCTTCCTTACCCCAATCCCGTTTTCCCAGACTGGGAAAGTTCTCTCGGAAGCAAGGATGTGCGGAAGGCGAGAGTTCCTGCACCTGGTCCGCCGCGCCACTCACCCAGCCCCTGAGCCGCTGCTCCCTCTGGCCCGGCTTCTGCTCCAGCGTGCCCACTTCCTCGCTGCGATAACTCTGGCTCCACAGCCCGCTCCCGGCTCCGGGCTCCGGGCTCCCGCCAGGCCCGACCTGGAAGAGCCGGGCGGGGCGGGGCGGCTGAAGCCGCGCCCCCCACCCGGAGAGAGGAGTGGTCTGCCCAGCACCCCGAACAGCCGACCTAGTACCCAGGCCAAAAGTAACTTGGTGGAGGCCTAAAGCTCTCCTTCTGGCTTTTGACTGCAAAGCGTACTGGAGTTGGCTTTTGACCTCAGGAAGGGGTAGCAGATGTGCCCGATAGCTAAGCTACCTGGCTGCCTTAACTAAGAGGTTTGACTCTGTCAGCCTCTCCCCTGTAGGGAACTCAATCCAGTCCTCTAGGCCCACAGCCAAAGAAGGAAAACCCCTGGGAAGCAGACAAACCTGGGAAGCAGACAAAGTTTCGGGTTTCATTAAAAACACTGCCCCCTCTCCAGTTCATATTCATATTTTCCTCTCTCTCTCCTCTGTCTTGGGGCTGTCCAAACAGAACCGGTATTGCCCTCATCCCTGGAGTAGGTATCTGCCCAGGTGAGACAGCTGCTAGTCCTGCCCCTCCATATGACAAGGCTGGACTCCCCTTAGACTCATGAAGTCCCACCCACAGGCACAAACAGGAAGTTGGCCTGTATTTCAGGGAGGTACTAAGGACTCCCTTCCTTCCAGACATACCAGGTAGCTTGTGGTAAGGCTTTTCTACAGGTATCTGAGCCATATTTGCTGCCTGAGTAGTTGAGCTTCGGGAGACAAGAGCCGGGTAAGTTTAGTCTCTTCTCAAGCCCATTCACAGAAGCAGCTACTGGAGGACCCAAAGCTGCCCCCTCACAGTGTGTCACAGTGTGTCTGAAAAGAAGATTGCAGATCTTATTTGACCCTGCTTAGCCAGGCCTTTCCAGCAGGTTTCTGGGAGATTCTTAAAGTCAGCTGAACACATAATTACAGGTGTTTGTCCCAGGTAGTTTGCCTCAAGTCACTTTCTTTGAGGCTATGAATACTAGCTCTGAGGGACTTTATATGTCAGATATGATAGGGACTCCTTCCTCTTCCTGTCTTCTAGGCTCCAAGGACCTCTGAACATACTTTGGGCTAAGTGTTTCTGTGGAAAGTTTAAAGCAAGGATGTAGGAATGTTTGTGTAGGGAGTTAGTTTCCCCTCCTCCTCCTCATTCTGGTTTGTGCTGTGGGGGGTGTCTGCTAGGAGGGTGGGGCAAAAAACAGGCAAATTTGTGTCTATTTCTCTGTCACTCATAGAGTCCTTACAGGGTCTCATACTCAAAACTCAAGGATTTTCTGAGAATGCATCAGTCAAAGGAGACTAGACTATGGAATCTATGCCCTTATACATAGGAATGATCCAGTTTTGGGCCTCTGGAAGACATGGCTAACTTGAATGTTACAGACCCTGGATGAGGCCTAGAGCAGCCAACGGCTGGAAATGATTACTGCAGGATTAGAGCGGCCTGGCTCCAGCCAGTCTGGGAGAGACCCCCAAGAAGGCAGGCCCTGGAGGAGCTACCCCCACCCTAGGTTCTTCCCCACCAAGAACAGCTTTACAACAGCTTTACAAAAATTTGTTTCAGGAACTTTGTGGCCAGAGTTCTCAGAAACTCTGGACCCTTCAATGGGGTTCCAAAAGCCTCCACAAGGGTTGACTTGAAAAAGTAGATCTATCCCTGGGGAGCAAAAAAAATCCTTCCCCCACCTGCACAAAAGTCTTCTTTCTAGCACCCGAAACCCAAACATCCTGAAATTGGTACTTAAGACTATCAGAGGGAGTGAGATGAAAAAGGGTCTTCATTTAGTAATATTCCTGACAAGGTCTGTGGATCATCTCTTTTACAGTCTTCTGCAGGGTTTGTTCAGCTGAGGCTCTCTGTACTCTACCTCAAACTCCAGAACCAGAAATGTAAGACAGGAGAGGAAGAAAAGGGCCTATGTTCTGCATTTTAAACAAATTCTCAAGAGTTCTAACACATTAAAGAGAAATACAAGAGGATACCAGAAGGAAATGGATGGGGGGGTGATAATAAACCAGTTTTTTCTTGGAAATAAGGTTTCATATAGCCCAGGCTCAAACTAGTATGTAGTTGAAGATAACCTTGAACTCCCGATCTTCCTGCTTCCACCTCTCAGGTGCTGGAATTACAGGCATTTGACACTATGCCCAGCTTTAGCTGATTCTTATGTCCACACTAAGAAAGGTAAATGGCTCACTGGTGAAGGACAGTTGGTCAGACAGGGCCTTGGGCATATGGCCCACTGCCCCACACTTCTGTCAGGAATCTCATGGAGATCCTCAGGTAAGACACCACCCTGTCTCCCCTATGCCAAAAAGAGGTCTATGTGTGGGAGATGGGATCTGAAGGCTCTGTAATGTCCCCTGTTATCTGGGAGCCCAAGCTCAAAGGCTGAAAGGACTCATTTTACTCCCAATTTGGAAAGGAAATCTAGTTATTCTGGGGAGACACCTGGTGGACAAGTAAGAAACAGCACAGAAACAAAGGCAATGGAAAATGTTTTCATTAAAACTGGAAAAGGCTCTATAAAAAGTCTTGACTCCAGCTGTCTAAGTCAGCATACAATGGAATCAGCATCCAGGTGCAGGCACTCTGGGTTCACAGCTTCTTCCCATAGCTCTATGGCCATATAATCCAGCGGGAGGAAGCTATCATCCTTAAGGCCCTGATATTACAGGGCTAAGTACCTAGGATTTGATTCTAGCAGGTACCATCTTATGCCTGACTCTACAAAGCACAGAGGAGAGAGGCTTTGTGCCCACTCACTGTATCACTCTTTGGCTCTGAATGCCTAGACGATATGGCTTCAGGGAGAAGTCTCCTATTTACACCATGTTCAGGGGGCTTCAAATGTGACTTGCTCACTTCCACCTCAGGGCTTAGTACTTTTCCTCTCCCAATATCCTTCAGATGTTCACCTAACCTGCTCTTCTAGTTCTCACATGTATTCTGCTCAGACACCATTGTAGACTGCATAATCTAAAACCAACCTGTGAACATTCTTTAACATTCTTCACTATGTTTGCTTATTTGTTTACTGCTTGCTACCCTTCTTTTACCAGAATGCTGGTTTTGTGGAAACAGAGACCTTATCTGTCTCTTCAGTGCTCTGAAGAAAACCCAGCACGTAGCCATAGCTGCTAAATTGAATTTCCTCACTATGGAACCTAGCCCTAGGCTGAGACGGTTCCATAGCTCAGGAATACAGGAAGAGCCCTAGCAGCAGGCCAAGAGTCTGTGCTTTAGCCTGTTTTGTCAGGCTCATTTTAGCAAGCAGCTATGCACTTCACCTTGAGGACTTAGAGGTATCTGACTGGAACGGGTTAGGGTCCTGACTTAAGAAAGTCTCAGAGTTCTGGTGCATAGCTCCCCTTTTGCCAGAAGAGGACTTTTTGGCCCCTAGTCCATTATCATCTTTGATCTTCTTGAGCCGGGCTTTGCTCTTTGGAGGGACAGAGAATGTGAGAGAAGTCTTGTTGAACTCAAGTGGGAAGACACCTACATCTCCATCGAAGCGATTTTTAGACACCTGCAGGTACCGCTTCCCTGGCCCAGTCACCAGCTTCCTATCCTGCAGGATCAGAACGTTGTCTGCCTCTTGGCTTGCCTAAGGAACAAGAAGGACAGAAAGCACATGAATGAAGTGGAAAGGAAGGTTGAAGGTGCAGGGAGGAATGGCAAGAATGGAATAAGGGAGAAAGCACATGAATGAAGTGGAAAGGAAGGTTGAAGGTGCAGGGAGGAATGGCAAGAATGGAATAAGGGAAGAGCGCACCCTTCACCAAGTTCTTTGAACAACTAATCACAAACAATGCTAAAGCCACTCAACTCTCCTAGCCCCCAACAGCAAGCTCAGGCTGTCTGTGCTGCTCCCTCTGCCTGCCACACCTCTGTGCTACAGTGGACTACCCTATCCAACCCAGCTTGTTCTTACCATCCAGGTGTCACTTCACCGAGGACTACTGATCCCTTAAAGAAGTACCACCATTTTTCTACTGAATTATTTTTACGTATCTGTTCCACTGTGACATCACTTTTGTGCCTTAACCTGATTTCCGGTGCCTAGCCAGGGCTGGCATATAACAGGGACCCAGCATACCACTGGAGGCTTCAGGATTGGGCTAGTCTTGTGGCCTGAAGGCCCTCCAATTTATTTGATAATCTAATACCTTCTGTCTGGAAACCTCAATGCAATCTTTGTTGATACTTCTGGGATGATTCTCCAGGTGTTACACCTGACTCAGACCACTCAAGTACTTGTACTACCTATGAGAGCCCTCATTCACAACCTGACTGTTTGCCCATTAACAGATGTGAGCTCCTGGAGGACAAAGAACCAACTACTATCATCCCTTGTATTCCTGGCATATGCATTCCTCATATCAAGGCCCCAGAGGCACTACCTCCTGCCTCTTTCAGGACAGTCAAGAAGATCTAAGGCTGAAGGAGGACTGTCCCTAGTCACACCTGACCCTCTAACTCTTCAAAGCTTGAGCGCCTTTAAAGCCAACTCACTTTGGCTGAGCCAAAAATGGATGCTGTCTGCAGTTCCTTGTCATCATCCTCCTTCCGGGGATGAATAACCAGGGTCACATGGCAGCTATTGTCTGTTGCAAACTTCCGAAAAGCCCCAACAATGTAGTCTTGAGCAGCAATCCTGCAGCAATGAACGTTGACAATAAAAGGAAGTTATTGGACAGACAGGAGAAGAACATACACAAACTCTTGAGCCACTTACCTCTCCCTACAAATCACTCCAACCCTACTAGACTTCCTTCTACTGAAGGACTCACACTCAGGTCCCTACCATATTTCCTGCTGCCACATCCTCTCAGAAAATAACAGAGTACAGTGATTGTGCCAAGAGGCCAGCCATGTGAGAAGACAAGTGTGTTCAAGTCAGACAAGAAGGTATCACCTGTCAGTGGAGAGCTGCTCATGACCCATCATGAACTGCAAATTGTCAATGACTACGTGACAAACATCATAGACGTAGACAGCATGTTGCATTGTGTCTATTACAGACCTGGGAAGGAGAGGCAATGAATTCAAGAGTCAATTATTATTATTATTATTTTAAATATTTTATTATTATTATTTTTGGGGGGGGCTCTTTTTGAGACAGGGTCTCCCAGTAGCCCCAGCTGGCCTGGAACTCACTATGTAAACCAGGCTGGCCTCGAACTCACAGAGATCATCCTGCCTCTGCCTCCTGAGTGTTGGGATTAAAGGCAGGCGCCACCACGCCCAGCTTATTTATTATTTTTATATGTATGTGTATATTGCCTACATGTAGGCACCCGTGTCTGTGCAATGCCCCAGGAGGACAGAAGAGACTGTCAGACCCCCTGGAACTAGAGTTATGGACAGTTGTTAGCTGCCATATGGGTGCTGGGATTTGAACCCCGGTCTTCTGCAAGAACAGCCAGTGTTCTTAACCTCTGAACCATCTCTCCAGACCCTCAAGAGTCAATTATAAGCAGCCTCAAGACACTCCAGGCAGAAGAACTACATCCTGAAAACAATGATGACCCCCTGTTCTTCTGATCTTCCATTCTTTGAAAACCCCAAGTCTGTCTAAGAGACCTGGAAGATATTCTCACTGGAGTTGGAAAGGGAACCAAAAATACTAAGTGTTGGGATCTGTCAAAAGTGAAAACAGCCTGGCATGGTGGTACATGCCTTTAATCCCAGCACTTGGGCAGAGGCAGGCGAATCTTTATGAGTTTGAGGCCAGCCTGGTCTACATAGTGAGTTCCAGGAAAGCTGGGGCTACAGGGAGACCCTGTCTCAAAAAGACAAAAAAAAAAAAAAAAAAAAAAAAAAAAAAAAAAAGGTGAAAACAGGAGCCAGGTGTGGTGACACATGTCTTTAATATCACCAGAGGCAAACAGATCTCTTTGTGTTCAAGGCCAGCCTGGTCTACACAGTGAGACTTACCCCATGCTCACAAAAGGGGGCTGGATAGATGGCTCAGTGGTCAAGAGTGTGTACTGCCCTGCAGAGGGCCTGAGTTTGATTCCAAGCCACCCACATCAGGTGGCTTACAACTGCCTGTGACTCCAGGTCTGGGGCATCTAACACCCTCTTCTGGCCTCCATGGGAACCTATATTCATTTGTACAAACACAGACACACACATATATTTTTTTCAAAATAAATCTTTTTAAAAAAAAAAACAGGGGCTGGAGGAGAAATAGTCTGTTAAGAGCACTTGGTTCCTAGCACTCACATTAGGCAGTTTACAACTGCTTTTAACAATAGCTTCAGGGGCTCTGATGCCCTCTTCTGGCCTTCAGGGGTACCCACACTTACAGGGCATATATACAGAAACACATACACACATAAATAAAGAAATAAATCTTTAAAAAAAGAAAATGCCAGGTGTGGTGGTGCACACCTTTAATTCCAGCACTTGGGAGGCAGAGCAGGTGGATCTCTGTGAGACTGAGGTCAGCCTCGTCTACATATCAAGTTCTAGGCCAGCTGAGGCTATAAGGAACCCCCCCTCCCCTGTCTCCAAAAAAGAAAAGAAAACCAAGGGACCCACCTCTTCTTACCTGATGCTCTGCTGCCCATGGAAAGTCATGAAATAGAGGGGCAAGTCCTCAAAGCGGTCTGCCCACTCTTCATACTTGTCCAGTTGCTCTTCCAACCGTGTCACAGCAAACTGGGTCAGCATGACCCGGGCTAGTCTCACATTGCTGATCTCAAAGCTACCCCACAGTGTGTTCACCCCCTGGGTACACAAATCCAGGGCATACTCACTGATGAATGTTGTCTTTCCACTGCCTGTTGGCCCTGCAAGGAGATGAACAGAGTTCTGGGCTAGGAGGAAAGCCTGGTGCTTGAACTAAGACTCTGGTCAAAGTTGGGAGGGGAAGCCCACTTTTTAGCATTGTCAGTGGTCCAAACCCACATACTTTATCTTATCTTCCTTTTACCCAAAACAGTGATTTCTTGCTCTTTTTTTTTTTTTTTTTTTTTGGTCTTTTTGAGATAGGGTCTCCCTGTAGCGTAGCGCCAGCTGGCCTCAAATTCACAGAGATCCACCTGCCTCTGCCTCCCAAGTGCTGGGATTAAAGGCATCTATCACCATGCCTGGCTACAACAGTGTTTTTTTTGTTTTTAATTTTATGTGTATGCGTGTATTGCCTGCATGTATGAAAGTGCACCGGGGTCATGCAATGCCCACGGAGGTCAGAAGACACTGTCAGATCCCCTGGGACTGGAGTTACAGACAGTGGTTTGCTGCCATGTGAGTGCTGGGATTTGAACCCAGGTCTTCTACAAGAACAACCAGTGTTCTTAACTGCTGAGCCATCTCTCCAGTCCCAACTGTGATTTCTTAAGGTTACCTGTAAAGACTGTCAGCTCGCCTTTTCGATGCCCCTTTAGCAGGCGATTGAGATCTGGGAAGCGGCTCCAGCGGACACCAGCTGCTTGCTCCACATTCGACAGTTCTCCTAAAACCTCCTCTCGGAGCTGCCGGAAAGACACAATAGACTTGTGCCAGGCAGGGAGAGCAGTACGAAGAATACGAGAAAGATTTAAGCCTTGGTTTAAGGCCTCCAGGGGACGGGGTTGTTGGTTCCCAGGCCGCACCAAAGAGCATCGTTTTGGGTTGAGTTTTCGAGCAAAGAGTTTAGCAGCTTCCCAGGATCGAAGGTCATCCCCTAGCCAGAACACAATCCGTCGGAACTGCTCGAGGTAAGGGAGCAAGGCAGGGGGTAAGCAGATGGTTCCTCGAGGCAGGGAAAGGGTGGGCAGCCCTGTGGACTGGCTCAAGGCCAGGCTGTCCAGCTCACGACTAGTCAGGACAACTTCAGCATCTCTATGGCTGATCAGTGGTAATCCAAATAGGTTGTGGTAGGCACCAGGCCGGGGAATGGTGGTCTCTACGTACTGCACTCCATCCCCCTGGCCTTCAACACCTAGCAACTTTAGACCACGTATTCCTAAGCCCCCAGGGGTGAACCAAGGGAAGACCAAACTGTGAGCAGATCGAAGATACCGAACACTGAACCGCCTGAGTGTGTCATCAGTCACCTTGGTAAGGCCAAACATCACTCGAGCCAGCTGGGCCTCCTCAGGGTCAGGCAGGTCCCAAAGAGGTATGGCTCGATCCCAGATCCTCCGGACCTCCTCTCTGTCTTCAGTTTCTGGGGGGTCACTAAGTAGGACTGCCTCTTTGACCCCATCGCCCCGCCCCTCCACACTGGCCTGGAAGTCTTCCCAAGTCCCCTCTGCCAAGCTGGACATGCAGAGAAAGTGTCCTGTGGTCTTGTCAATGAAGAGGCAGAAGGAAGTGGTACCGTTCTTCTTCTGATCCTTGAGCTCTGAAGACCTCACAAAGGGGCTTGGTGCTCGAAGACAACTGTGGCCATCCTGGAAGGGGATTCCATGTGCCCGTAAATACTGGCGGATTTCAGTTGTAGTCACAGGTAACACTGGTACCTCCAAGGCTGGAAGAGCCTCCTTCCTGTACCTTCTGCGGGGAGGGCCTGGGACCAAGCTTCGGGGCAGGCCTCTCCGACCCACCCAGTCCCCACGCAGTGGCAGCAAGACTCGGAGGGGATATGCACGTCGGAGGAGGAGCCACATCCCCAGCGGGGTAGGCCACCACTACTGCAAAAGCCTTTGGTGTCTGGTTTGGCCACACTCTAAGAGACCCTCCACCGGGCCCTCACAGAGCTCGCTGCAGCTGGCTTCGCTTTCTCTTCTCAAGGTTTTCTCTCATAAGCACCCTCTTAATCCTCTCAGCTTTCTCTACATTGCTACTTTACGTCTGCCCTTTCACGTCTGCGTCCCTCTCTAAAGATTCCCTTACGACTAGGGTCCTTTTCAGTTTCTCTTCACTGCCACCTCACTTCTGCGACACGGTCACTCAATCTAACAGCTTTTCTGTATCATCTCACCTCCACTGCCCCTCTACGGACTCTCTTGAGCATCCTCAACTCTACAGGTCTCTGCATCCTGTCTGTAGTCTGTTCGAACCCCAACTTATTTAGACTTTCTCCTCCGTTCCTTGCCCTTACAGGGACTCTGCATATGGCCCGAGCACCACGTGTTGAGGCTCGTCCCGGCCTCCCATGGTCTGCCTTCCGCAGGAGGAACTCCACGGCTCCCGGACTCCCGGCTCCCGCCAGCAAACTCGTGTCACTCTCCTCTCTCTACCCTTCTGCCCGCAACGTGGGTTGTCCGCACGCGCTACTCTCTGTGACCTCGGAAACAAAACTGTCTCGGGAGCCGAGGTCGCCGGAACCGGAAGTCCACGTTTAGTCCCGCCCTCCCTCTCACCGCCGCGGCTTCTCAGCGGTAGCCATGACCGGCCGCGGTACTTCGAGCCGCTTCCTGACCAGTGTCCTCCACAACGGGCTGGGTCGCTACGTGCAGCAGCTGCAGCGCCTCAGCCTCAGCCTCAGCCGCGACGCGCCCTCGTCCCGCGGCGCCAGGTGAGCGGAAGCGCAAGGGCCAGGGCGGGGTTCGCGGGACGACGGCCCGGGGCTGGGGACACCGTGCTCACTCTTCCCGGGCCCCGCAGGGAGTTCGTGGAACGCGAGGTGGTCGACTTCGCCCGGCGGAACCCAGGGGTCGTCATATATGTGAACGCGCGGCCGTGCGCCGTGCCCAGCATAGTAGCGGAATACCGTGAGTGGGGCGGGGCTGGGGTGGAGGGCGGGGTCCAGACCCCTTGTTCGACGCCTGACAGTGCCACTTTCGCTCATCCCCACCTCCCTTCTGCCAGTTAACGGGGCAGTGTGCGAGGAAAACATCAACAGCAAGTCGGTGGAAGAGATCAAGACTCTGGTGCAGAAGCTGGCAGACCAGTCAGGCTTGGATGTGATCCGCATCCGCAAGCCCTTCCACACGGACAACCCTAGCATTCAGGGCCAGTGGCATCCCTTCACCAACAAGTGGACGACTTTCCACGGGCTGCGGCCCAGAGAGCTCCAGGAGCCTGCTTCAGCTTCTGCACAAGCCCAGTGAAGAACAGCCCCATTCCAGGCATTGGACTGTTACCTCAATAGAGTTGGCTCCTGCCGTTTGGAATTTCAAGCTCTGGCAAAAGAATGGAGCCTACCAGTGGGGGCGTGGCTTGGCGGAAAGATTGTGCCGAGAAGAGCTGCTTGTATTCATTGCCCACTGCCAGGGATAGTGCTCTTGTGCATCTCCTACAGTTGGTCTCCCCACAACCTGATGTGTGAAAGCCTCCAAGTGTTGTACAGTGTCCTTTTCTGAAATCCAAATAACAACGATCTCACAACACAATGAAGGGTCTCAAGGTTGGCTTTTGAAGGATAGATGATGTCCTGTTGCTCTTGCTATGGTCTGACATTGGGCAAGGCACCTTATATCCATGAATGTTTGCATACAGACTCGAAAACTGAGTCATTAAACTTGCCCAAGATCATATTTGAAAGGTTTTTAAAATGTGTGTTGCATATTTTAAGCATAAGCTCTATTTTTCATTATTTTAAAACCAGAGGCACAACATAAAACCTTCCAGTTGTTAGTGTCAAAGGAAATATGATTAATGTAAGTCTACCTGACTCAGATTTTCAGAGCAGGTGGTCCCAGGTAACAAGTTGTATGTAGTTTCTAGCACTTCCACCCCAGAACTCTTTGGGCAGAAATGAATCTGTCCCTTTCCTTTGATCAAGGATTGGGAAGTGGTGAAAAGCTTACAGAAGAACCGGACTGATAATTATTTTCCAGGCTTACTTTTTTTTTTTTTTTTTTTTTTTTTTTTGTCCTTTTGAGCCAGGGTCTCCTTGTAGCCCCAGCTGTCCGGGACCTCACTATGTAGACCAGGCTGGCCTAGAACTCACAAAAATCCACCTGCCTCTGGCTCCCAAGTGCTGAGATTAAAGGTGTGCGCCACCACGCTGGCGACAAGGCTTACTTTTAAAAAGGCACGGAAGGGCTAGTTGTGGTGGTACGCATCTTTAATCCTAGCACTGGAGGCAAAGGCAGGTGGAATCCTGAATTCGAGACCATCCTAGTCTACATAGGCCAACCAGAGCTACATAGTGAGACCCTGTTACAAAAAAAAGGTAGAAGGAAAAAAGGGAGGACTGGGTGAGATGGCTCACTGGATAAAGGTGCCTACCACCAGCCAAGCCTGACCACTTGAGTTTGAGTCCCAGGACCCACATGGTAGGAGGAGAGAACTGAGAGGACTGATTACCCCAAGTTGTCCTCTGATCTCCACAGGCATACCTTGCTACTTTGTGTACCCCCTCAATAAATGTTAAAGGACAAGGAGCTGGATGTGTTGGTGCAAGCCTGGAATCCCAGCCATTGAGGAGGCTGATGCAGGAGGATCACTTGAACCTAGGAGTTTGAGACCAGCCTAGGCAACAGTGAGATCCCCATCTCTAAAGATAAGTAAGGCTGGTTGTGATGGTGCATGCCTTTAATCCCAGCACTTGGGAGGCAGAGGCAGGTGAATTGCTGAGATGAAGGCCAGGAATTTGAGGCCAGCTGGGACTACTGTTGAACCAACAAAACAAAAGGCAGAGGGGTTGAAGGATGGATGAGGGAGAGAGCCAGAAAGTAAACAGCTAAGAAGCCCTTGTATGAATTCTTGAGCTGCTGTAATTTGTCATGTTCTTACCATGATCAATGAATGTGAGTCAACAAATGGCCCATGTGCCTGCCCAGTATAGCCAGGATGGAAGCTGAGAATCCCATTTCTTTTGTAAATGTTTTTATGGGAGCAAAGCCAACCCTTGATGAAGAAATCACTGAAGCACCTCCATAGGCTCAAAACCCACCCCTGGTGAAGCAAGTCTAGACCAAGCAGAAACTCAGCTGTGGGGAAAGAGGGCATTTATTAACCAGCATCAGGAGGAGCAGAGCCCAGGCTCCCTACTCTTGTCACATGCCTTTCCACCCACCTGGGTGATGAGTGGGGGCATTCCTGAAGAAGTACAGCCATTCTTATAATAAATACATTCATTGTGGGGTAGAGGTGGGAGAGGTTCTGGTGAAGGGTAGTAAAAACTCGTGGGGTTCCACGTTCTCAGCTACAAAAATAACAGTCATCCTCACCCAAAGGAAATGGGGGAGCGCAATCAGGATTGATTGTCCCATATGGGCCTGGCAACTTCTGAGGCCCTTGGACCCTGAAAGTGCCCTGGTGAGGTAGGACAGGGATGGGAGCCAAGCATCCAAACTCCCAGCCTCTGCCCTTTGCATAGTTCCAAGAACGGGCTTCATGTGCCAGGTGAGATATCAGATCACCAACCCCTGCTCTGGTCCAGGGGAAGCAATTGCTTGGTTCCCAAAAGGGAGGGTGGCTCATTGAGTGCAGTGTTGGTCACTTGTCCTAGGGAAAGATCTGTTGAGGACAGCTAAATGGGAGGAGATCTCCCTTTGAAATGTCCATGGACCAAACCTAGTAGGTCCAAGGCAGCAAGGGGAGACTCAGAAGGTGCATGTGGGTGGAAATGTAAGCACATGAGAGGCGTGTTACCACATATGCATGGGGAGGGGACATGCCTGGAGCTTTGGTGCTCTTGCATGTGACTGAGGGGAGTAGGGAGGCTGACTCAAAAGGGCTACACAGAAAGGAAGAGGGAAATGATGGCAGTCTTACCTCCCAGGATGGCCTGTTCCTAAGCTCTTACCAAAGGGTCACCACATGGGGCTGGGACTGGGGAAGAGGACTAGATTGGAAGATGACAGGAGGGTGCCCCAAATCTAGAAGGGACGACACAGGAATGCACCAGGAAAAGAGGGGCATGGCAGCCCAGCTGATAAACATTCTTCCACGTGCACATGTAAATGTAAGCAGGACTCAGGTGGCTGGCAGAGGTCTTGTCTGAATTCAGGACTACCCAGCACACAGAGCTGTGTAGAGGGTGGTGGCATTGAGGCCATCTGGACCTGCAGAGCCCTACCTGGGAAGAAGAGGAAGGGTTGGGCAGATAATGGGATAAGGGAGTCCTTACCTCCTCCCAAGCATTTAGGTTAAGGGATAGGAACTGGGCCTGAGTTTTCAGATCACTTATTCCTGAAGGAGCACCTACCTTTAAGGAGCACCGGTGGGCCTGGGCTGCTCACATGTGGGTCTTGGAGACTGAAGAAGGGGCTTTGGCTAACCATGATTCTGGTCAGCCCTACAGAGACATCAGAAAGTTGGGAGAGGGGCATGGAGTTGGGAACACAAAGGAGGGTGGCTGTGTTGGGGAAGCAGCAGCCCAGCCCAGGGCAGACAGGCTGGCTTGCAAGAGCAGTTGTTTGGGAAGCTAAGCTCAGACAGAGCTCTCATCTAGCTGCTCTACAAGCTGTGTGTGCTTCCTCTTCTCCAGGATGCGGCTGAGTTCCTCTGCAAAGGAGCAGGGTCCAGCTGGCACTCCATTGTTGCTCTGCCTCAGGAGCACATAACTGTTGCCATTCATCCTTCGCAGCCGGCTGGGCAGTGCCACCAGCCCATTGGTCAGCTCAGCTGGGGGCGGTGGAGGTGG